CAAGGATGGGTTTAGTAATATGTATGGGTTGTATTCAATGTTTAAAGTGGTTTAAGTTACAGTGTGCTAATCTGGAACAATTGGACAAATAAAGGGTTCCCATGTTGCGGGCATGCTCGCATGTTCTCTAGTTTATAAAAATTATGCAAAATAAAATCTAACTTGAAACCCCCTAATAGTGTTTACTGGAACACTGGGCTCATAACCAAAGAAGCCAGGATATTGTGTGGTATCTGGTTAGAAAGCAGATCTAGCTTTAGTCTTATGCAAGAAGACTATAAGGAGATCAAGAGAGCACAATCTGTGAGAAGGATTGGTGTGAACAGAAACAATTAGAGTTCAATGAGGAAACAGAATAACAACAAGTGGAACAGGTTATTCTCATATATATGAAGCTCGACAAACTCAATTTTTGTGTGATGATGTACAAAAGAAATGTATCATAATGCACATCTAAGTAATCATGTCTATACATGTCCTGCAATTGCTATGATCAATTTGTGATATTAATTGATCACAACCTGAATTTTTTGCTGGTTTAGGGTTTTCGAATAAGTTTTATAGTGAAATGTGAATGATGACAGTGGAATCTGTTCAAGTCAAGACCTGATTCACCACTTGTTTACATAGTTGCTTTCAATTTGTTTTCTCAAATGTGTTTTTCTTATTTTTTTCATCTGCATTGTTTTTCTTATCTTTCAATAATCATCTATCAATTGAATTCGCCTTTTTTGTTCCATTTAATCAATTTCCCCTTATCTTTAGTAAAGCAAAAACAAACTTCAAGTCATTCCTTGTTTTTTGAAATTTAGAATATCTTCAGTTTAGTAGGATTTATTTGGATTAGTCTTAACAAGGATGAGGATTTCAGTGAGAAAACTTATAAAGGTTTGGAAGATATCAAAAAAAGACATGAATTCCCCCAATGGTCTATCTATCCAATGATTTGTAATATGGGGCCAAACTTCTTTGAAATGTGTGTTTTGGGTAACCCTTCTTTTTGTTTTCACATTTGATCTGATTCAATTTGACTCTTGTTACTCTGTGATCCATGTTGATGAGTTATGAGCTATGGTATGTATATCAACTCACTCTTTTGAATACCTGTTGAATCTATGAGTTTGGAAATATAAAGCATGCAAAATTCTTTACCAAATATATAATTCAGATAGCCTGGATTTTAAACTTTGGATTGCTTACAAGAAAGGGCTGTCTGCTTTTTTAAGAGAAATTCAAGGCTCTGGATGATTAAATGTGTTGGTACTGAACCCTCTGATCAGAAAATGCTTAGTCAAGCCTTCAATCCTTGCAATCCAATCAATGAGTGTGTATTTGATTGGATTTTTCTCATCTCTTGTTGAAAAGAACCACACATTGAAAAGTATATAGGTGGATCCTTGATCAATCAATATTTGAAAGATGAAGAGGACATATTCAGTCTGAGTCTACCTACCACTATAGCTCTGAGATGATCTGATTTACTTGAATTGGAAAAGAAACCACTGGAGATATGAGCAAAGGATGTTTCAAATGAAGATAGAGATTATAAGAGTACAAGCTTTGGAAGAACACAAGAGTTCTCAGTAAGTGCTAAGAGAACACAAGTGTTGTGGAAAAAGCAAAGTACCTAGAGGTATGAGAAGCACTGATAAGAATGAATTGCTTTAACACACAACACTACATGATAGAACAAACCTTTGAAAGAACACAAGAGTTCTCAGTAAGTGCTAAGAGAACACAAGTGTTGTGGAAAAAGCAAAGTACAGTCGAACCCGCGCAATTGCATAATTTGGGTGGACGTCCCGAGCTATGCAACTTCACGGGTTATACAAATTGGCGAAATATCCCATAATGCATAATTGTATGCAAAAAGGCGGAATTGCATAAATATATGCAATTTTGCGGGTAGAGTCAGGGGCCTGAGCTCGGGGCTGTGGTGCAGTTCAGGGATCAGGTATCATGCATACTCATATGCCTTCTCAGGGTCTTTTATTGTATCATGTGGCTCAAAGACCGGAGTGGGGATTGTATTTTCATTTTTGTTGTGTATAAATAATCTACTTACATCGATATCAACGATGATTCAAGGTCATTTGTAGAAATCAGTAATACAGGCTTGTTTTTTGTTGCCAAATGCGATCTTGGACTTTAACATATCTATGTATTTCTGTAAAGGTGAATCCAAGTTGAGACCTTCGGCTGTTCCAGTACCTTTCATGTGATCGATGACAATAGATAAAGCTGCTAAGGTCTCAGCATCTGTAGGAATGGATTTGAGCTCGAGTTCAGGTTCAGCTTCCTCTTGTGGTGTGTTGACTTGATCAAATACTTCCTTGGCAGTTGGGATTTCTTGGAAGACAGGAGTTTCTTCTTCTGGATTCAATAGCTCCTGAATTGACATCCTATTCTTTGAAGAGAGTAGGCCAGCATCTTGAAGTTCTTGTAGACTTTTCTCGATTTCAATCTCAATCTGAACAGGTCCTTGATTGATGCTCGAAATCCTATGATTCAGGGAAGAATTGTCGATCAGTATTTATAAATGTGAACGAGAGACTCCAAAATATACTGACTCGACTTCATCCTCGAACTTGATGATACCACTGTGGCGCCAGCAGTTTCGGATTGTATCACGAGTCACTGAGTGCCATGCATGTTTAGCGAGTCGAGTGGCGGTAAGGATATCAATATCGTACACTTTGGTGTTCTCCACAGTGTTGTTCAAACGTCGAAATGCACGGTTAAGGAACCGTTTACGGTAGTGAGCCTTGAAGGCCTTAATGATACCAGCATCGAGTGGCTGAACATGGGCTGTAAGATTGGGTGAGAAGAAAACGAGTCGGATGTTGCTGAGTTTATTTTCTTCAATCTTATGACCAGCAAAGTTATCAAGTAAAAGCAAGATCTTCCTCTTATTGGCTCGGAGTTGTCGGTCCCACGCAAGAATCCACAACTCAAAGATAAAAGACGTCATCCATGATGTTGCATTGAAATAATAGTCAATTCCCAGATTGGCTGGGGTCTTTTTGTTGAAGCATCGAGGTGATTTCCATCGTCCAATAAAGGTAAGATGATGCTTGTCGGATCCGTCAGCATTACAGACGCACACAACAGTGATTCTGGCTTTTGAGCCTTTCACACCAGGAGTGCTGACACTTGCTAAGCCCCGGTCCGGTGGCATCCTGTGACAGACCCAAAAGAAGATGTATGTTTGAGAGGAGTCATCAAGGGAAGAGCGAGACAGAAAAAAAGGACTTACACGTAAAATAAGCCAGTCTTGTCCATGTTATAAACATCTCTTGGTCCATATTCAGCTACAACCTCTTTGATTTGTTCTCTTTCAGCTGTGACTGTTTCAGGTTTAGCAGATCCAGCCTCTCCATGCCGCTTGAATTCTCAAAGGCCATGTCGGTTTTTGAACAAGTCGAGCCATCCACCAGTGAGGGTGAGCCACTTCTTGCTGTCAATGTTTTTCATTCGAGCAAAGTGGTGCCACTTTTCCTTGATTTGTTCGCCAGTAATAAACTGGCCAGTCTGCTCGCACATATGACACCAAGTGACAAGGAGCTCCTCGATCTCTGGAAACTTGACATCAGCTTTTCGTTTAGTTTGAGAACCGGTATTGTTGGCGATCTTGCGGATTGAGTCTTTATCTTTGAGCCAACGCGAGATATTAGGTTGACTGATTCCCATGTTGGGATAGATCTCTGAAAAGTGAAGATAAGTCTTGGTTTGACTTTTGCCGTTTGCATAGTACCAATCAATTACTTCTGAACGTTGAATGTAAGTTAGACTTTGTTTGTGTTTTGATGTTTCTCAAGAGGAGCGTTCTGATTGGACAGCTTTGGAAAGATGAGAACGAGGCCTTTTGCGTTGGCCGTTAGTGGGGTCGTCGGTAGTCGAATCCTTTTTGCGTTTGTACATTTTCTTCGTAGCAGCTTCAACTAAGATGGCCTGATAAGATGATATTATAGATTGAATAGCTTCGTATTCATGGTATGCAAAGCAGTATGGTTTGTTATCTTTTGCAGCAAGAAGTTGGTCAATCAGAATTTGTTCTGTTATAAAATTACCGCTTTGATCCAGCCATTCCTCATCAGCAGCAGAAATCTTTTCGCCAGCGTCTTTGCGAGATTCAATATCGTCACGTCGCTTTCTAGAGTTGTCTTTCAGAGTTTGAAGCCCTTTCTCAAGTAAATGGAGTTCGTGCTCCTCCGAGTTCATATCAGATGGAAAAGCAGCCGGAAGGAGCGGAGTCGGTGCAAGATAGATGATGTTGATGATCTTTGTGGCGTGTATGGGGTTATGGGCGTCGAATTTGAGGGGCTCAGCAGCCAGGGAAGGGTCTTCTGACTCGTTCATGTTTGGTTTTGTTTGTGATCGAAGCTCAACCCCCCTCCAAAAGCTATGCTTTTTGGCGACGGAGACCCGGTTTTTTCAAAATTTAAGTTATGCATTATCATTTTTGGCATAATTATGCAATAAGCCCAGATTTTAGCCCGCACCAGGTCCGGGGAAGCCCTGGCCTATGCAAAACGACCGAATATGCAATTGCGCGGGTATGCAATTGCGCGGGTTCGACTGTACCTAGAGGCACGAGAAGCACTGATAAGAATGAATGAGAAAACAAGACAACAAGTGAGGACAACATTGATTCTTGTATAGAAAAGTGAACTCGTAGAACCAAGGTACATACAAGTAGATTGAGAAGAAGTACAACATAATGATGCCAGAGAAGAAATGAAATAGATGAAGTTGACATCATAGAGATATTAACTATGACAAAACATAATGAAGTAGTAGACAAGTTAATTATCTCAATAGAGATGATGGAAGAGCAACAGAATACTTGCAAGTGTTGCATGTGTAGTAGTACCTGGCAGTACACACGGAAAAAAACTACTCATGTGAGTCGCTTGCACTTTGTTGATCTTTAGATTACTGCTACCAGCGCTCCTGCAGAGTGGACGTTTCAACGTGGATTTTTACGAACAGCCACTTGTTTAGCAGGTATCACAAGTAGGGAGGTCCCCGTTGAAAGGACATCTTTCGACACTGCCACGTTCACATAATGGTTTCCACTTCTGAGTATTACCAACTACGCGATCCATAACGCAGATGGGGCTTCCTACTTGCATTGGACGTTTCAAATCGTTCATGCACCGTGATTCGCCGCCACCGCATCGCGGGACACAGCCTCTTCTTGCCGATACAACTACAACGGATGGCATCAGTCCTATGACTCCTAGGAGGCTCAAGCTGACCACAACGAATGGAGAAGCAATTTTGATGATCTAGAAAAAGGAAATGGCACATTGGATGTCAATGATTACATCCTGATAAAAGATCTTGTGCTTCAACTTCGACTGACCATATTGTTGATAGCTTTGTTTATGGTGAAACTGTAAAGATTCGAAGTCGCGAATTTGTCTGGGAGAGACAAAAGGGACTCGCAGTAAAATTGTAAATGTGATTGACCATGAGAGTCAGTGAAACAATAAGATACTCACATGGTTAGTTTTGATAGACAGGCGAGATCCAGTCTTAGTTAAGGGGAATTGATTATGATTGGTGAGAATGGGGAGTTCGGTCTACGAGCGCGGCCTGTTTATACACCACCAATTGTGTAAGGGTGGCTCTGATAATCACTACTAGAAGGTCTAGCTACTTACTCAGTAGTATTCTTGACAAAAATTTCCTCTGGTTACGTGGAATATAGTGTGCAATGAAACCTAAGTATCAAGGATGAAATGATATATATATATATATAAGTATCTTTAATCTCATCAAAAAAAGAATACTAATTTCTTTACAAAATGCATGGGCCTATTGATCACTTACAATTACATAAGGTAAGCAAGGGATTCCTAAAGGAGGTCCGGGGATTTTGGATGACTTAATCGTGTTTTGAAAATCGGGAAGTTGAACTGAGGTGGACTACGGAATGATCAAAGGAAGAAATTTGAAGTAAGCACCATTAGGGACACTCTGTATATGAAACTGAGAGAGGTGAAGTACGTTTATTGCACGATATCCAAATCCTAAGATGGACGATGTTATCTGCTTTTAAGAAGTGGTATGATTCAAGAGAAAAGATATAGCTTTTATAAAGAAATAATAGGATTTCTAAACTATTGAATCACTGGACTTGCTAAGAAAAGATAACTAAACTGTTACTTGGATTTGAATGGTATAATTTTCTTCTTTTCTTGCAAGGAAGGGTCGAATTTATATTTTTTATTTTCACAGCGAAGAAACCAGTGTTAAGCCCCGCGACAGTCAATCGTTGATCGATTTGCGTTAGCCAATCGGTAAATTTAACGATTGGCTAACGCATGCAGTGTCTTGCTAGCCCCGTCATTAACTTCAGCACACCAACTCGCCAACCCGACTCAGTCGTCGACTCAACTCCTCTCGACTCCCAGCACCAGAATCAAGAATCAATGGAGACTCAACTATCTATTGATACATTGAACTCGTGGTATGTCTAGCTTCTTACTGTCTGATGCTGTTTACCCAATGTTGATTGAGATTGTTCTACTTTACATGTGATCATATAGGTTTTTGATAAGATTTTAGACCGATCGAGATCGATTTCTTATCGTTTGTTTCGATTTTGGAAGGGTTCCAAAGGTTTCTTATTCTTTGGATCGACTTTAAAATGATTTTAAGTCAATTTATCTATCTCATTCAACCGTAGGGGGCAGCTATACAAAAGGATCTTCCTTATCTGCATTTCTTTCCAAATTCTCAATGGTCTTCAACATGATCTCTTTTAAGGAATGATGAAGTGAACTTCTTATATTTGCTTGTCTACAAACCTGCCTGTGCCAGCCATCCAGCTGTGATGAGATCTCAAGTTGATCTTAAATGAACTTTGCTGCCCAAAAGCTCTTGACACCGAGCAATTGTACTATAGGAGCGTGTCTTAGGTGTTGAATCTTGAGCTGTGGAAACAAGTCGGTAGAATTTTACACTGACTACTTTACACCGACTTTCCCGGTGTAAAACAGTTCCTGTGTAAAATTCGAAAAAAGGCCCTCAATTTCGAATTTTATACCAACATTTTGTTTTTTTTTTCTGTGCAAAATATCCCTGTGTAAAAGACTTGGTGTAAAAACATGGAGCCCCACCTCAACATGCAATTTTACACAGCAACTTTTACACCGTAAATCCCGGTGTAAAAAATCTCAGTGTAAAAAACCAGAAATGCCACCAAAAAAAGAATTTTACACCGAGACACATTACACCGTCTCATTCCGGTGTAAACAAACACAGTGCAAAAATGCATTTCATGCAGAATTTTACACCGCCAGAATAACATTTCTACACCGACTATCAAAAAAGACAAAAGAGATCAAAGAAACCTTATTACCAAGTCACACACGTCGTCTCCTCTTTCCTGTGGCATTAACCTCCGATACATCAGCCTCCTCGATGGAGGGCGGCTGCTCTTCAACTAATGCCCAGCCTTTCCATTTGGAATTTCTGGCCTTGGCTTCGACCTTAGCTTTCTGCGGCGGGTTGCGTTTGGCTTTGAAAAACCGCAAAAGACTGACTTAGCCCTGTTCATTATAATCAGAAACGAAAAGTGTTTCACTTACTAGGTTTCCTCACAGTGACAGTTTCCCCTGCGTCAACCACCGTAGACTTTTTCGAAGTAACTGCGGCTCCCTTCTTTGTAGGCGCTGCTATAGCTTTTTTCGCAGGTTGGCGTTTAGCTTGGAAACATTTAATCAATCAGCCTAAGTTTGTGAAATTCAAAATGATGTTCCACTTACCTGGACCCTTCTTGACTACTATTGGCGGCGCTGAAACCTTGTCCAAGGATGGTCTAATCAGATCTTGTTTGATCGCCGCCCTTTGGATATTCTCAACAAAAGATGATATATCAGGACCCCGGTATATATCTGGTTTGTTGTGAAGATCATTTTCATCGTCACTTGCATTGGGCCGGCCGCCTCCAAAAGGTAAATCATGTGTTGGCATCGAAAAGGGTATGGCTGAATGGTTTTTGGGAAACACCTTCATTAGTCCACAAATTGATTTTTGGATATGGTCTACTTCTGCGGTTGATGGCATTCGTGAGTAAAACACCCAGCTAGTGTTTGGAGAACAACCAGCTAAGCTGGTCACGTCAGTACCTTCCAGCTGAGCTCTCCCTCCGTTGACAAGCTTGTCAAAGTACCACACTCCTAAAATTCCCTCGACTGAGCGCACAATCCGGCACCAATAATGTGAGTGTCCCCAATATCCTCTGGAAACCATAAAGTATTCGACACCACCCATTTCAATACGAGCAGGCCAATTGGTCTCACCCTGGTACCGTCTGCGCTCATCGTCATTCAAACCGGCAACACCATCCAAGAAAAAATAAAGATGTGGTGGTGCAGATTGCACGTCGGTGATTACAATCCGGATGTTATTTTGGACAAATGACGGTTCAGTGATATCGGCAGGGGTGTTCCCTTCACTGTCTCTTGGGTGACAGTGAAGACATAAGATCCCTTCTTTCGTGAGTCCTTCAGACAACCACATAGATATCAACTCTGATATATCCGCGTAAGAGATAGAGGCGTCCTTAAAAGTCTTTGGCGTCAAACTTAGTACAGCGCCACGTCGAGTACTGACACTGGAATGTTTGGAATTTCGAAGACATGTTATGGATTTGATCCTGGTGTGTTCGAACAGAGGTCGAAGTGATGAATGGTTGTCTTCCACATTGGCAAGTAAATACTCCATAAATCCGTCGGCGGATGCAAACTGGTCAGTTGTGTAGGATTCCGACAATTTTTGAATAGCTTTGTGTAGAATAGTTTGCCATCGAGACATGCTATGGCCAAAGTTATCACCATTGATTTCCACTTTACATCGTGCGGTGAAATGCCGGATGAGTTCGTTGACCAAGTTTGTGCTGTTTACCGTCAAGAATTGACTCCAAGTTGGGCTGAACAAGGCGTAAAGAGTTTCCAGAGTAGCCGTTTGCCAACACCAGTTTCGGGTACCCTCAGTAGTTCCAGAAGAATAAGACTGGTAAGTCGTGAGTGGATTGCGGTTGATATTCTGGGATCCAACAGGTCGACCGAGTTTGGGTGGTTTGGTGCTTTTTCGTGTTCCCAGAAGCTCTTCAGTGGTGTCAGGAGCGCGGCCATTGTTGCGGGTAAACTTTCGTTTGGTTGGGGGAGCCATTCCTATTGCCTTCACAAGATCTTGCCAGGTTTTCTCGGATTGTCCACCGTAGGTAATGGAAATACCCTTTTTTACCTGCTGGTAATCCTTTTCCATACACTGGGCGAAGGCTATAAGTTGGATAATGCCAGGTATGACTGGACATTTGCCTTTGCTGCACACAAGATAGACAAAAACGTCAGTGAAGTCAAATAGATTTGAATGAAATTAAAAAAAAGATATAGGAAGATGACCTACCACAAGAGATAATAGACACGATGCATAGATTCCTGTCCATTGGTAGTCGCAGGCAACTCCGGGCGTCTTCGAATGGTTTCTTTGTCATCGTCGTCTTCGTCAGCATCACTATCTTCCTCTGGTAAGGGAGGATCGTCGAGTGGCATCCGCTTTCTTGCGGGAAATAGCATAGCTTGAATGTCGGAGCAACTCCACCACTCTAGCCACCTCTTGGCTAATGGGAAAATCCGCCATAACTCCTCAAAACGGGTATCAAGGTCGTCGACACCGGGTCCGTCTGGGAGGAGTAATGCTTTGCATTTCTTCTCCCAAGTGCCCTGTTGGATGATATGGTCAGCTTATATTTCAATGCATGAATCAGAATAATCAAACATTACTAACCTTTTGTTGTGGTTTCACAATCTTACTATTCTTCTTCAGACGCGCAACAGCTTGGAGGTAATGCCATTCGCAGCCATGCAATTTCGCCAACGCCACATTCTTATCATTACATTTGAATACCTCCATGTAAGCATCTTGGAAACCGACTTTCTGAGCTAGTGAGAAATCCACAACTTGTTCTACCATCATTCCCTTCTCCTTGTCGGTCATTTTCGTTTTTTGAATCTGTTGTAGCAAGTTCTTGAAATGAATTTTGTAATGTTCTGCCTGGAGACCACCGAGCCACGAGAAAAGGACTGGTACCCAGCGTTTGATTGTTTCGCAGTACTTCGAAGTAGTTAATAAGTATCCCATTTTGAAAAACCGGTAAGTTACGTCCGAGAGTAAGCCACCAGTGTAAGTAGTTGATCTCTTGTCAGGTTCAACCAACACATCCGCCATCCAACCAGTTTGGAATGAGATGTGAGCTTCTTCCCCGGCAATAGACGAAGAAACCACACGCAGGCCTTTCCTGAGAGCAGATGTTTGATTTATCAGCCATCTGATAACGAAAAAATTTAAAAAAAAGCTTAACACTCACTTGGACCAGTCCATCATGGACTGAAGCCACTTGTCACCGGATTCGGGGTCTCGAGAGTTGGTCATAATGCCCGCCTGTCTTAGGAAGACCCGTCGCAAGTATCCTAGGCGGTCGGCATGGCCAAAAGACGTGTGAATATCTGTCACTGATTCAATGGGGTCCTTTCTTGTGTGCGCCTGTCCAACCTATAATGTTGAAATATTAACCCTTAATCTTTAAATTGACAAAAAAAGATGCGTATACATACCTTCATGCCTAAAGGTCCGGTTTTAGGGTCATTGAGCACCTTTTCCTTAAGTTTTTCCTTCGAGATCGGATCCGCTTTCTTCGACTCAGCCCACTCATGTTGATGAGTACCTTGATGTCGAAGCAAACCCCACCCTTCCTCACCATTTTTATCTAGCTCCGCATCAAACCGACAAACGGCATCACACTTGATATGTGTTTGAAGGCCATCGCAAGTTGATATAGGACAAGCGGTAAGTCTGTTCAATTTAAGATGTGAGGTGATGAAAACGTAAAAGGAAAAATGATCAGCTATGTAAAGGCTGATCCATCCAAGACGGCCAAGACTTACGATTCTGCAATCTTATTTGGGCCTGTGGGTGGGGAGGCAGCCAAAGCACATCCTTCCTCGGAGCATTTGATAACTCCCAAACAATAATATCTTCGAACTATCCAGTCTGATTTCTTTGTAGTTTCGGTTCGCATGGTGTGAGTCCAACCAACAAAGCGGAAGTTTTTGGCTGGGTATTCAGGGTCATTGACATATACAGTGCAGCCGTTGGGGAATATTGGATAGTCTTGCTCGTCGACTTCACATCCGTGGTCAATAAAAGTTTTGAACAAACTTTTATTGGTAGGTAGTCGTAGATTGGGCCGGCGGTTATTTTTGACCTGCGCTGACTTCGCAGGAGTTACATCAGGAGAAGACATCGTGGCTGGAGGTGTAGATGGCGGTGAAAAAGTAGGTGACAATGTATAGGCTCGTGAGAATAGCTTTCGAGGTGTTTGAAAGATGTCTAACTTGTCTTCTCTGAAAGACGAAAATGAGGATATGTTGTAAGAAGAAGCGCTCAACGGAAGATTATGTTTAGATGGAGTATAAATCGGGTTTCCTTCCTCAAAACAAGGCTTTGACGATGATAAATCCTCATCATAAATTGAAAGGCTGGTCGTGTGTGTATTTTGGCTCTTTTGAGGCGAATCAATTGAGCAATCAACTGGACTATCATCTGTTGTGATGCTGGCTTCATAGTGCGATGTGGCTTGTCCCATCTTCAAAAGAGATTTCTTTGGGATTCAATCTAAATCGAATAGGAGAATCAATTTACAAAAAGATTACAAAAAGGGTGCTGTGTCTTCGGATTCCAGAAACACTGGGCCCTTTTAGAGGATATGTGCGTGTCGAACTTTCATCTATACCACGTTACATCCATCATCCGATCTCACGGATGTGGGTACTACAAATATTTGTGGATATTTGTTTTTTTTCGTTCATCTCCATATGAGGTATTCTTCTTTGTTCATCTCTATATGGAGGTATTCAACACTGTTCGGGGTGTAACTTTGTCCTCATGGGAATGGACATCCATGGTTTCAACTATCATGGAACCTGTGCGGTGTAAAGTATAGTTATAGCGGTGTAAAATTGTAATATCGAAGCTACTTTGGTAATATTGCACCGGGAAGGTTTGCACCGAAACTGGTCTGTGTTACTCGTCTCAGTGTAGAATTCTCAGCTGAGCTCGGGTCTCGGACTTTTACACTGTAACTTTTTGCACCGGGTATTGCAGTGTAAAAGTTGCAGTGTAAAATTACACATCTCAACGGGGTACCTTGTTTTTACACCGACACATTTACACAGTAAGGGTACTCAAAGTAAGTATGTACGTGTACATACTTTTTGCTATATACTTTTTTTGGCGGGGAAGGCGAGGCCAAAAGTATATTTTTTTTCTTTGTCCCCGCCAAAAAAAGTATGTAGCGAAAAGTATGTAGCGCTACATACTTTGCTTTGAGTACCCTTAGTCATTTTTCACACCGAGAAAAAAAATGAAATGTAAGTATAAAATTCAAAATTAAGGGCCTTTTTTCGAATTTTACACCGGAACTGTTTTACACCGGGTTGGTCTGTGTAAAGCACCCGGTGTAAAATTCTCCCACCCCGTAGAATAAGCCGAGCCAGTTTGCCAGTTAAGACTAAATTTGACAAAGGTTCTTCCATGTGTGTCCGAGAGGAGTTTGTTCTATTGCAGCTTGTTGGCGACCTTTTCTCCTGTCAGGAATTGCTCGAAATGGAATGATTGATTATCTTTATATTTCGTACCAAACTATCTTGTGAATGTAATTTTCTCTTTCCTTTGTCTTTGGAAAGAGGAACTACTGACTCATCAAGTTTTTCAATATGTGACTTATCTGAATACTGAGTTTTTTCCTTAACTTGTTTCTTTTATCAAATTGTCCTGGGAACAAATGAGCACATTTCCTCATAATCTTTGACTTTGTATTGTCTTGAATCTCATAATTACAGGTATAGGGAGACTCATTCATATTTCTTTTCATAACATTTCATCAACTGTTGTGGGTCAGTAATCTTTCCTAGTCATCAGGACAGGAGATCTATTATCATTTTATTTTACGCATGACCACTCTCTATCAGCTCCCCATCACAAGTGTTGATAAGGTCTTCAAAAACACTTATACATCTTCATGGTAGCAAGAGAAAACCTGATGAATTCAATCCACAAACAAAACCTTGGATGAGTGATCAGGAAGTTCAATTCACGTCTATCAAACATCAACCTCTTTCATCTCATCATTTGCAAGAAGAAGAAGGTAATCAAACAATCGGAGGAATCGTACAATCTTTAACTAAGCAATCAAACTCATCTAATCATAATACATTCTCCTCAACTCCATCCCTAGACAATCCCAAGCATCTACGCAAGTATACCACAAGGCTCTACAAGCCATTCAAGTAAACCAAGGGACCAAAGACAACGACTCACTGGGGTACAAGCATACACAGGGATTCACCCAACTGTCTTAAGCTAAGGAAGCGCGATTGATTATTTGTAGAACTCATATGAGGAACAGTGTAAAAGTTTTACAGAATTACCCAAGAGTGAGCGTAGCAAATTGAAGAAATAATGGACTATAACAACACGGTGTACAAAAGCTTCAGATCAACATCCACATCTAACGTACTTAGACCAATGACTTCTTCAACAAGATCTCTTGATTATACTTTTCAACTTCAAGTGAATAAACCCCATTTCGATCACAAGAAGGAGAGTTATTATTAGAACCAGAAGTGTTTCGTAAAGCAGGAAGTCTTGTAGGTGTATGATTACTTTGTGAAATTTGATGAACAATCTGATGATGAGTTTTAACAGGTGTAGTAGAAGAATAAACCGGAAGATGAACAATCGTTTCTTTCATCCCAATCGATTCTTTTCTTTCTCTAACAGGTCTTTGAACCAAACCACCACGTTGTTCTGCTTCTTTTACAAACGTATAAAAAGCTGAACCAACTAAGATAAAGATGATACCAATCCATCTTCCTGAACTTACAACTTCCCCAAAAAGAAAGATTCCTAAGAAAGTTTGAATGACTCCTCGAACAGCTGATGAAACCATATGAGTGACCGGAGATGTCACCTTGATAGACAGGAAGCCAGCCAAACAGATAAGGAAACCAAAAAGACCAGTGACAAGTGCACCAATGATGAATGTGCGCAAGTTATCACCTCCACTTTGAATGAGACTGACAAAAGTGTTGACTTCAGAGGTAGTGCAGATGATAGGAATCAATAGAACAGCCGAAAGAAGATTATTATAGTAAGATAACTCGATAGGTGAACTGGTGATCGACAATGACTTCTTGACAACAATCGCATGAACCGAGGTAGTCAGACTACTAAACACACCCAGCAATATACCGATCGAAGACGCCGTGAGTTGCTCAGACTTGACTCCCCAAAAGAATCCCACACAAACTACCAAGACAGCTGAAAGAGTATTCGGGCTAGGCTTGGAGTCTAGAAAAAGGTATGAGGCCAAGACTGTGAAGGGTAGGATCAAACCACGGGCGACTTGATAAAACGATGCATCGACGTATTGAAGGCAAAAGGTGTTGAAGACTAGTCCAGAAACATTGATGAGTATAAGTGGTAACAAGGAGTAAGTAGTGCTCCAACTGAAGGTAGGAATCTTCAGATGACCCGTAAGAGCGCATAATTGGAGTAATATCACCGCCATGATCAATTGAAAAAAGAGAAACGTGAGGGGAATAGAGGTGGCATTCAAGACCCACTTTGATGAGAATCAAAAAATCAAGTATAAGTTTCTTCATCGTGAAAGCCGATATAAAATCCCAAAAATGCTCACCTTATTCGAGAAGACCATAACAATAGCAGCAACAAGATAAAACAACACCGTTCCAATCACTTTTGTACGTGAAGGTGTTTCCTCTGGTGTATTACTAATCGGTAAAAGACTCCTTCCATTGGCCAGATGATCATGAGATGATTCATTTCGTAAAACTCGATTAGGACTGTTAATTTTTTCATCAAATAAGAATGGTCTTGAAACTTCTTGATTGGTGGTATTAGATGACATAGAAGAGGATCGAGAAGCTAATCGAGTAGAATGTGAAAATGATGGGTGTCGAAGAAGACTTGGAAGTGTAGTTCCTTCATACTTGGTAGCATAATTGGCTACAGGATGGTTAATGGGTAGCATTGAGGATAAAACTGAGATGAATGATTTGGTTGACGAAAGTTGGATGTGATAGATCGGTGAGTTCTGATCGATAATGAACGTGAATAAGACTTGATTTTTTTTAAAAACGAGAGTCGGTTTCAATGCTGAGTGATCAAGTATTTTTTCGTTTATCTGTGGTTCAATGAGCGTGAGATAAATCAATGAAGAATGCTAGATGAAGAAAATTACGCCCTTGAACGGAACGGAGAGGTAAAATCAAAAATAAATGGGAAAGGGAAAAAAAGCAAGCCCTGAGCGTAACGGTGCCTTATAAAGACTTTGAGGTTTACCTGAAAGTGACTTTGAGCACTAGCGCAAGCACACAGACGCATTTTGTCAAACCGCCCGCAGTGTGTGGAGTCTAACCATTTCTCTGTCGATGGGAAGATTTGCTATGGATAGGGCAATCTATGAATGCCGGCCGCTACCCACTATGTATGACAAGTCGGTCAACCGAGGTGAACATCATAGGATGGACGAGACGAAGGAAGTGAGCCATTGTGATTTATCTGGTGTCTGTCCAATGGTTCAGCCCCTGTATACCAGAACAGGATATGATCAGGCAGGGAAGATGATACAATGAATGAATTGAGCAAACTATGTACGATCACCAGTTGATAGGCCATATGTCAAGATTCCAAGCAGGCTATTATGTTGAGAAATGGGAGGATCAAGTAACGAGTTCGAAATGATATCCTCGCTGTCAACTTCCAAGAAATATTAGTGATCAAGAGCACAGCTTGAAGGCGACGATTTCCTAACCGGTAGACATGCCAAGGTTAAACTGATACTACCATCTCACTGTTCACCAACCGCATTCACCCTACAAAGGCGATCTGATAGATGTCACTTTACCTTTCAAATTGCTCAGGTGAAGAGCGATATCAGTCTCTGCTCAAGCATGTGCGAGTAATGGCAGGTGTAGCCGAAGCGGCGGCAAAATCACACGCCACCCAGCATTTTGATCGTAGTTCTGGTCAGTAGATCGATCGCCCAAAGACTGACCTACTTCCCTCGCGGGACACATTGGCTAACTAAGCATGGTAGCATTCCCTTTCATCCTTACACCAACCAACATGACTCTTGTGTTCTTTTTCTCGATCAATCGGCAGGCCTCAAGTACAACTGCTATGACGGCTAAGAAAGAAAACAATTCATCTCCAACAAGACATCCTCGATCAGGTTTCGTTTTGCGCAACAGAAGCGTCCATCACATTTCAAATCATCACTCTCGACTCATCAAATCATCGCCCGCACAAAAACAATACGCTTACAACATCTCCCGAAAAAGCCGCCCTTGGAGACATCAGCTTTGGAGGTTTTCTTCTTGGAAAAAAGATGAAAAATCAAATAAGTCAAATAAAGATAAGAAAAAAAGCGAAATAAAGCAGCACAAAGTGTATTTTAGTGTACTCTGAAAAAGCGGAAACTGAAGTGCATGTGAAGTACAAAGCCTGGTCTGATCGGCAAAAAAGGAATGTAAGCAAAGTCCACTTCTCGGAATCTGGAAGAGTTGGATCCAGTCAAAAAAAGGAAAACTAACTAGACCGAATACCATTTTTTAATGATCGATGATTGACAAGTTGCCAGTCAGGAGTTTATTCTCGAGGATCTATGAATGTAAAAAACATCTCAGTCTTTGCATCAAGGATTATTGAGGAAGCAAATTTCTTCTAACCGTTCCATCTGGGATCTCGATCCGATTGCCTTCGTTGGCAACAATGATAACTGTGCCTCGAAGGGTAACCTTGCGCCCAAACTTGACATCTCCACTCACTGTGAGATGATCAAGTTCGAGCATGCTAGGAATACTCTTGAAACGAGCTTGGTAAGCTGCTACCTTTTTGAAGTGATCACCCAACTTAACGACGGGTGTGGACTATCGATCACAAACAATCACGCATCCAGTCAACTGGAAAATCAGGGGGGGGGGTCGAGAGGGCACAAAAAACTCATACCTGGAACATCCTAGCTTCATTCATCACCAATCTACCATGTTCAAGTTGATAGAGATCGCTAGTGACGAGTAAGAGATCTGAGCAACTCTTGACAGGTAAGAAACGGCTTCGAGGTACATTGACTCCATGGGCATTTTTGAAATGCTGGATGGCCGCACCAGCAGCGGTTTCTAATTGAATCACCGCTTCACCATTGTCAGCCACCTTGTTATTGACAATGATGTCTAGCTCCATGCCATCATTTTCCATCACGTTCTTCAAGGCCTTGAGATTGACCCATAAACTGCCGAAAAAAACAAGGTAAGGGTAAAAAAGAGCTACGAGTTGATGGAACTCATTGATTGGACACGCAAAGTGTAATGACTGACTTGTTAGTGTTGAAGATCTTAAATTTACGGACAGACTTGAAATCTTCGACATGATCATTAGGAACCTGAGCTATTTCCAACAATCTGACTTTTCCATCATAGTCAATCAACGTTCCTCCCTTCACATCAGCCTTGGTCTTATCAGTGACCTCCATGATGAACTCAGCTTGACTATCAATCATATGTTGCATAATCTTTGTATCTAAGACCGCTCCTAGATTGTCAGAGTTAGAAACAAAGATGTATTCCTTTCCAGCTGCAAGAAGCTTGTCTAGCAAGCCCGAGTTGGTGATCGCGTCATACAAATCACCATGTCCAGGAGGATACCAGGCAGATTTGTCACCAGTAGCAGTGCGTGGTGCAGGTAATAAACTTTCCCGGTTGACACGAGGGTAGCGAGATTGATTGAAAGTCATGATTTCAATGTTATGATTAGCATCTAGTCAAGGGAAAAGAGGTATCAGGAATCAGTGACTTGATCAAAGCGAGACGATTTTTGACTGGAAATTGATACCAACATTTTTGAATGATCCGAGCCGTATCTTCATCAGTGTTGAAACTGTTCATCAAGATAAAGGGAACATTGACACCGTGTGCCGAGTTGAGGTGTTCGATTTGTCGCACCGAAAGATCCAAGAACGTCATTCCGTCCCGTACCTCGATCGCAGACTTAGGCCCCACACATCCCATGGTGGTACCCAGCCCACCATTCAATTTCAAGACTGCAAGCTGATGAAATCCAAGCCATGATCAGCGGTAAGGCTCGCTGCTTGAAGGGTTTTTAAGACTGACTTTGTCTAAGATCGCATGATTTGTGGCCTCAGGAAGATCGGCGTAAGACACCACTTGTTCCTTTGCAGGAGGATGAATTCGATCCCAATGTCTAAGCATGATCGGTGCAGAAATAAATAAGTATCTAATCCCAAGTCCAGGCCATTAAAACGCTATATGAGAAGAAAACTTACAGCGGGACGTTCCTAGCTTTTTCTTGCAAGTATCTATTGAAGAGTAAAAAGAACCCTTGCATCTCTGCCTCAAATGCTTTTCGATAATTCAAATCATCTACACCAGACGCCAAGCTTGTCAATTCGTTCCTCATTGCTTTTGCTGCTACTCCTGTAGTAGCCGATTTGAAATCCTGTGAGCCCATAGGTAAGATCAAAGAATGTAAAAAGAAGATGATAAGAAATTTGGATTGATGATCAAAGCTATTGATTTTATGAGTAACATGAAAGTTACAGTAAAAGAATTGATCATGGAAATGATCGTAGTTTTGAGAGGAACAAAGCTGAACATTCAAATCAAAGACTGCATAAGGAAGAACAACAATGGAGTGCCGATCAAAGGAGTCATACAATAAGCATGTTCAGATGAAGCTGAACCAGTCAACTGAACAAAGACTCCCAACCCAATCAAAGGTCATGAAACCGAAACCCAAAGACACTCGTGATAGAGCACCTCAAACTTGCAAAGAAGAGGATCGAAAGCAATGACTGACCATCTGAGAATGACCTCTCATCCGTTTTCCTGAATGAGCTTGGATATTAGCACCTGGAGCAGCTAATCCGCCATTAGCATCAGTGACAGCTACTTTAGGTGGTTCCATCGTCTTTGAATCTAGTTAGAGTGAAGTTGATTTGAGATGGGATGAGTGATGAAAGAGAATGAAGTGGAAATCAATCAAGAGAGAGATAAGATTTAAAACTTGAGAAGAAGGGTTCTTGAAGACTGAAGAATGAACGATCGATCGATGACGCACATTGAAGGTAAAGTAAACTAAAATTATGTAAAGATCAGTGAGTGTCATGTTAAATTTTAAGCGTAACTTAACATCCTTCACAGTCACACCTTTCATCAAGCGAATCTGATTACAATTAGGATCATCCTACTTTCTACTTTCGCTTGATGAACCGATAAAGACCAATCTCCCAAATCACGTTGCAGTATCCCACATGATCTAATTTCTCACCTTTTCAACCAGTCTAAAAACTTCATCAAATTTATCTTTCACTCTCAAGAACTGCCAAAGTGTCATGTGTTTTCGATATACCACATAAAACAATCGAATACCAGCTACATGAAATGAAGACAATGGAGATATCATTTGAAGAGATTGTGATTTGGTCAAGCCATTGTACCTACATATCCAAAATATCAGGCTGTTTCTGATCATAAGTGATGCCAGACTACGTGTGTGAACCTGACAAATCAATCTGATCAGACTCCCTCAAAGGCACACTAGAGAACCACGACTAGAGGAATTATGAAAAAGATTTCTTGATTGGTTCAAGTTGTGTTGATCTGCACACTTTGCTTAGGCTCTTGCTAGAAGACAACTGCTACTTGCCAAACATCGAGCCAAGGCATGGATTTGTCATATTAGTTTGTATGACTCATAACACGAGCTGGGATGAGTGATAATGTGATATCTTCTGATCACCAAGGTGAGTTTATCACCACTGAATCCGTTGACCACAAGCTCATCAAATCCCAAAAAAAATACTTTTTATTATACTTGATCGTAATCATTAAACTTCATCTCAATCATTAAACTTCATACCATGTAAAAGAAAAAAAAATCAATGAGCCGCTTTCCAATGTTCACGTAAAGCACCCAAAATACTTCTAGCAACAAGTTGAACACCCCAAATGCCTACGATCCCTACTCTTCTACCATTCGAATTAGTCACATGAAAGGCCAAGGCACTATAAACTTGATCACCAATCTTTTCGACTAAACCGATATCATAAGATGTCCAACTACCATCAAATTCGGTCTGTTGATCCACAAGACATCAATTAGTTTTACTAAATTTCAAAGAAGAAGGAAAAGAGGCTTACAAGTGGAAGGGTTAGGGAACAACGAATCGGAATTAATGTCTTGTTGGAATTGATAAATGCTACAATCGGTCGTACAAGTGCATGGTTTACATGTGATAGATTGTTGCTGAAAAGCTATAACGAAAGCAAGGTACAAATACAAACGTTGTTTAGTGTATCTGTGTCTAGGCATACTTTGTTTTGGAAGATGGCACGAGACTCAACTGGAACAGTAGCCTTGACATCTTTAAACCTAATATCCATCTCAATCACCACCCCAACCTTCTCCTCATTCACATCTTCATCATCGTCTCCCTGATGTGGATCAGTGGTGAGTGAAGGAGCTTCGAGAGCAGGTTTAATAAGTTCAGGTCGTTCAGATATCCTTGGTTGAGGTTGAACGATTTCTTTTTCGATATTGTCCACAATCTCTCTGACGACAGTTCTTAAATCTATTTTCTCAGACTCGCGTGGTAAACTGATATCAGCTACCAGATCTACTTTTCCACTGGTGATCCATCCTAAAGGACCTTCATCACCACTCGATTGAAGATGATCAATCGGAACTCCATCGATCCTAAACCGTGAGAAATGAGTTTGATACTTGGATGAAGAAGAAGAAGGCGAAGGTGATTGGTTTGAATGAGTTAGAGATTGAGGTCGATGAAGTGAAAAGAGACAATTATCGATTTGACCCGTCACTTGTTCTGCACTCATCAAATCTAAAAACAACCATTGTTTTCTCAATCGACGAACATGTCCACTAAAGATTGAAAACGTATACTGTGGTGCTTATCCATAAATCCAAACCCGAACACCAGATGATGGTCGAGCAAGCGAGAGAGAGGAGCCGTAAACTATGTGAAAGTCAGTGAGGTCTGATGAATTTCCAATAAAAAAGGAAAACTCTAAGAAAAAGGCTGACCGGACGGAATGCTTCGGGTTGATAAATCGTTACCAACAGATCGTCTACCAAGAGCTCCTCTAAATCGAAATCACCTGTACTAGGTTTCCGACGCGTACTTGACCGATCGATCAAGGTTGGGGCTTCGTGGTTGGTTTGACTGTATTCGAGATGTGATCGATCTACCACGCCTCTGACTCCACTAACAGCAGCCTGACGTATGAGACCTTTGCCATTCAACCATCTTCTCAGACTTAGAGTGACATCAATAGTAGCTATGGTAAGATGAAAGTGAGTGTAATCGGATGGTATTAAAGCTGATGAGGTTTCAGAATGAAAAGGTAATCTTGAAGACTTTGAATGAGATCTAAGGAGATGAGAAAGATCTTTATCTAGTTCAGAGAATTGATCATCTTCAATTGGTTCATGATCTAGACTTTGGATTTGATGAGCTTGTAAGATTTCATCAAACAATCCTCTTGGACCATCCCCTAAAGTACCTCTCAAGACAATCACATTCTCAAATCGGATCAGTCCATCTCTCCAACGAGGAACCAAAGCAGATGCAAAGAGGATTCGTACTCCAGTAGTCCTTGAAAGATAATCACTCAACCATCTAGCCACTAGATCTTCAAGTCCAGCTTTATTGAAGATCAAAAGAAGTACTCCAAGAAATGAAGTAGTAGTCAGAGCAGCTAGAATGAGAGCCAGTATAAAGATAAGAGAAGCAAAAGCAGAATAATCATCAGATCGATAGGGTCGAAAGGATCGGATGGTAAGCCATTTGAAACGAATCTGAGCTCGATCGATGAATGAGTTGGTGAGTGGAAGTAAATCCTTGGGAGTTGGAGGATTTCTTAGATGTGGTAATTTAGCTGCCAATGAACGAATCGATGGTAAATAAGTAGCAATCGCAGCTTGAACAAATGTCGGCTGGTTTGGTTTATCAGTTGAAAGCTCGTTCTTGCTGTCTATTTGAGATTTATCTGATGATGATGATGAAGTGTTATTGATTGAATAGTTTCGAAGTAAGTTGAATTGAGATGGTCGTATTGTATTGATGGTCCCAGGTCGAGTTAAATGAGGTTTGAGCGTTAGGCTTGAGAATCTTTTGAGTCGATACATTTCCCTTACAAGACCACTCTTGACAGTGACTTCACTAATGCTGAGCCATGATCACCTTGTACAAGTTGAGGAGATTGAAAAACTTTTACCGAAACTTGAAAGATTATTTTCATCAGCTCTCTGTTTGTTTCAGAAACGGGTCACTTCATAACACGCGCTCTTTGAATCTCCCTGGTATCGAAACAGAACCAAACCACAATTATTCAAATGAAGCTTCCAAGTCTCGACAACATTCATGAGAAAGCACTCTGCTCATGCCAACCTGTTGATTCATTCATTTCTAAATCAATTCAAGCTCAAATACGTACTTTATCATATTGTACTTCATGACCAGTGTTCACGAATCATGACTCCACATGGTAGAGGAAGCAATGTCCAGAACGTGATTTTGTTAAAAACCACCCTACTTTGTCCCTTGCAAATAAAGCATTTTCAGAGATTTAGAACATCAACTTAAACCTTTGTCTTGCTGGACTCAGATAGTCAAGCCTAGTGCTACATACTCAAGTTCACATGGCTCTAAAGTGCACCTATTCTCTGTGCTTATTTGTTAGCTCTCTCTCCAGAGTCCGCGCGGAGGTGGTTTTGTTACAAGTTAAGCTTGTTTGGCAAATATCAGTCACATGCCCCACTGGAAAGTAAACTCCATTGAAATCTCAACCCAACTTTTTTCTCAATCCAACAGCCTGCTCAATCACATTCAAGCTGTTTATGAAGATCTACTCAGAATTGGTTCCTTCTAAATACTCCAGCCATGCTTCAACTTCAAGTAATGATCCTATATTTATGAAACAGGATTAATAAACATTGGTACATATTGTTTGATAGAAAAAAGAAATATTTTTGAAAAAGTGATGTGAGTTCTCTCAACAAAAGTGATCATTGAATGTATGTAAACCAAAGAAGTTCTTTATGTAAAACCAATTCAGAGCTTGATAGTCAATTCCACTTGATTTTCAATTTCTCAATTGAGCTTTATGTAATTGGATTGAGGTGCCCATTTTTGGTTCACTAAAAATATATGTATGTAGTCTGGATGTGATGATGAACTACATATAGCCCAAGTCTTTGGAAGAGAGAAACAAGAAGCAAAGTACACAAAAAGTGAATCTGAATCTGATGAAGGGATTTGAAGCTGACTGTGAAGATAGAGTAAGTAGTATGTATGTGATTAAGATGTTTATGGGTTTATGGTGGTAGTTGGTGGTATAGATAAAATGACCAATGAATGATGAGGTTGGATGGTGAAGTAAACCATTCTCAATAAATAGTAAAGATTAGTCAATCGATTTGAGGAAATGGGAAGAACAATACCTTATAATCATTACCATCATCCTACTACTACTACTACTACTTTACCTAATCGATTGATTATTAAACTCGAACATTTGTTAACTGATTCTTTGAAATCTTGTTCAGAAGAATTCATTCACTTTTCTTCTCATCGTCATCCATTTCTAAATCGATTCTCTAAACCTGAAGATTGGAACTTTGATAACTTCTTAATCGGTTTAGAATCAACTTCAACTTCAACTTCAAAACAACTCATGGATCGCTGGGTTAGAGTCAGTCTGATTTCTTTGATTCTATTACCTACTTCATCACTAAAAGTCACTTTCACTTTGACACAGAATATCGTCTTGGCTTCTGCTACTGCTTCTCAATCCGAACCTAATCCATCTGATCAACCATCTCATTCAACTTCAAACTCAATCAGACCTTCATCCGAATCGACTCATCAACCCAACTCACTCTTTCCTCCTATAGATCATTCTGATCAGATTCCAGAATCACTTCAGTGGTCTCATGCTGTACCTCCTCCAATCGGTTCATCATCTTCAATCAGCTCTTATAACCCTCTCGCCACTCAAGAAGGATTGGCTGATCATCCACGCCTTCCATCTGGTCCTGAAGCCGGTCAATCGGATTCTTCTCTTTGGCCAACTGACCCTCCTACTTCTTGGCATCACAATCTACCACCATTCCCGGCTGATCATCTTCAAGCCTACGGTTCTCCTTATACACGTCATATCCTATCTAGCGTTCAAGGTGATCTGGATCATTTCATTCAAAGAATGTATCAACATCCTCGTCCTTCTCAATCCAATCCAACCGCTACCACTACTACTTCTGACGCACAAGATCATCCATCTCGACCCGAGCCAGTCGCTTCTACAGCTTCTCCTCCTAGCCTTGGCCTTGATCCACCCGTTCCGGCTCGCACTCAAAGGATTTCAGTCACCTTACCTGGCGTTCGCTCTATCCTATCAGCCACCTCTCCCGAAGCACTCTCACTGCTTTCACACATCAGACATCCATCTTCACCTCTTCCTGCTAGTCTCACTGATTTTCCGGTCTTTCCTGAACCATTGGGTTTACAATCTTATCCTTCTCAGCTCACCGAGGCGGATATTCTTCATATGGGGCACTCCAATCTGTTTAGAAGTGAAGATGAAGATGAAAACACTGATCTACATCCCTCCTTGAGCTACGATCCAGTGCCCTTGATACATCTTAGACCACCTTTATCCCATCAACCGGGTCACATTCCAAGCCCTCTTGATGATACTGTACCTAGCTTCGATCTTACCCCTGATACACCCTCACCAATCGACCCCATTGCTGACTCTGTCAGCCTTCGGTCTCAGCTATCACCTTCATCTGATGAACTTCATATCACATTGCATGAAAATATGGAAAATCCCGACTCGAGAGCCTCTGAAAGACCAAGCCCAAGTTTGACCAGTGATTTCGATCACCATACTACTAGAGCTCGTGCTACCTCTCGTATCACACGACTTCGATCCCAACAAGGGCGTTCTCTTTCGGAACACACCTCTCCCGAACCAGGTGAGTAATCTCTTGACTCATCTGCTATGCATTTTGACGGTTCTGATTTCTGTTCTTGATCCGCTTACTCAGAAGAAGATATCAGTACAACTCCCGAAGGCTCTCAAAGACGTCGAAAACGTAGCCGTACAGCTCCTTTGGTAACCCAAGACCTTTCCTTTGCCGATCCGAGTTCCTCCCCGGCTTCCACGTCAAATGCGGCTCCCACCACGGCCGATATTGCAGAAGAAGCAGCTCGTAATTCCAATCCACATCGTGCACTACCTGCATTCTATTCTCAAGACCCACAGATTCTTACTCCGGAGATGACTATTTCAATCGATACCGACCCCATGACCCGTCGTCAGATCATTCTCGATCATTCTACTCACGGTCCTATCAGATGGCACAATGCATCACAGAAAGCTATCTACGATGCTTCCAAAGACGGTCTTGTGGGTGAAGAGATTGGTCAGATTAGATTTAGTTATCTCAGTATTCCTCCTCGCGAAAGACACGGAGATGGAAGTACTAGAGAGGCAAGCCAAGGATTTGAGAATCCAGAAGAATCAAGTACGAGTCGAGCTACTACAGACAATCATTACCTTCGATCGTTTTATCTTACAAGTGGAGAATGGGGACCGCCGACGAGTTCGACATCTTTTCGAGAATCATTAGAGATTCGACCTTCATTGTTTAGTTGGGGTAGACGTGCTATGGCACCTGATGGACCACCACCACCACCTTTACCGACTTCATCTTCAACACTTGATCCGATGGGATCTAGTTATTTACAACCTCGTGTGGCTCATCATTATCCTCATCATCCTCATCATACTGGGAATGGAAGATTGTATCGATCTTCTACGTTTGCTAGACTTCCTCCTATTATTAATGGTGGGGGGGGTGTTAGTTCTAGTAGTAGAAGAATGAGAAGAGAAGCTGAAGAGTTTATGCTTCCTCCTTTACTTCCTAGACCACCACCACCACCATTTTCATAAACTTTGATCATCATGATGATCTTGAAGTTTTTTCTTTCGAAAAAAAAATCTCATTGATTTCTTTTTTTTTCGTCTTTTTTTATTATTCATTCTTAGAATATTTGATTTAGTTTTCGATGTTTCTGTTCTTGTTCAACTAGTCTTTTAAGTTTTTTTTGTAATAGGTAGCAATATAATCTTGATTTAATCATTCATCACTACATCATATCTACAAATATATATATTTTAAAAACTTTTTGTTTTTTTGAAAATCGAATTTGCAAGGTTTTTATTTTAGATTTTAGATTTTTTTCGATATATATATATCTGTTGAAATCCGTTTTGATGTATCTTTTATAAACCATTTATGTTAAAGATGGTTGAGGGGTTCAGTTAAGGTCTTATTGACATAATTTGGTTTGTAGGCCAATCATGGTGCTCTGTGAGTGGCTTGAAGAAGTAATCTGATTGTAGTACAGTGATACCTAACACCAAACAGAATATCTAGAGTCTTTTTAATCAAGTTTGCAGACATTCAATGGCTGGTTTGATGGTAAAAACCTATTCCGATTAAAAGAGTCACAGATCCCTCAGGACGTATTGATGCAGAGTGATTAAGAGCAAAAGCTATAAGATTTCATCATTAAAACGTGTTTAAAAAACCTTAAAGACGTGTTTAGAAATCTAATTACATTATATAGATCATAACCCAACAAAATGTAACTTGATAAGACTTCATTCACATTTATATATGATTCCAACCTCCAAACTGAATTGACTCAAAATTAAATCGGATTCGTACTTCAAACGTTATCAAAACCAACACACCAAAAAACTTGTTCTGTGTAAAGTAAAAAAAAATTCTTGGAAAAAAAGAGACGAGAATGTTGAAAAAAGAAGAAAAAAAAAGTTTCGTGTTGAAATAGAATGGATTGGAAACAAAAGCCAAAATGAAAAAAAAATCAAAAAAGAATCAGAAAAAGGAAAAGAGAAAAAAAATGTTTGTTTATCTGTTTAAGAGAAATCGGTTTGTATGATAAAAAGAAAAGGCAAAGCAAAGCAAAGAACCAGCAAGATAAGAAAAGATAAAAGAGAACCAAAAAAACAAAAAGTCTGATTAAAGGAATCGGTTTCATGAATTGATTTAACTTCAACCACTACTTCTGCAAACTGCATGCTACACTGCCACATCTCAAACCCACTTAACAAAAAAAAGAAGAGTCCAAAAACAGATCAACAGAATCATAAAACGTTTGCCATCTTTCACCAAGCAGCAATCCCCGAACGTCTTTTACTCGATCGTTTTTTGCCTTCTTTTTCTCCCACACTTTCACTAATCGAACCAGTAGAAGATTCAGCAGCAATATGAATTGATTCGTCTTGCGGGATTTGAACTGAGCTAACGGGTTCGTCTTCGTTGGAGATCATTTGGTTTGGTTGAGCTTCGGTTGGGATCGGTCGGATGGGTTCATCTGTATTACGACTTCCTTCTTCGGTGGATGAAGATTCATGGGTGATCAGTTCGATATCTACTTGATCTGATTGATAGGTAATCTCTTCTTGACGTTCTTCTGTATCTTCTCCGATCTTTAAACTTTCAACTGCATTGACCAACTCGAGTTGGGATGTATCAGATGGATTGTTTACTATAAGTTTGGGTGATTCACTTGTTGGAGATTCATCTGGAATTGAAGGGAATTCAAGTGTGTTGATTACCGCTTCATTGGATTCTGGTACACGTGCTTCTTTCAACTCTTCGGCAAATTTCGATCCTTTAGGGGTTTTGGAATCAGTTGAGCTTTTGGGAGAAGTCGGATTAGGGATCGGAAGTTTGGAAGCAAGACGACCGTTTGATGAGGAAGGTTTAGTAGTCGTTCCTGACTTCACGCCTCTTTCGCCAGTAGGGGTTTTAGGAGTCTTGACACCCTCGCTCGTCTTTTTAGTAGCTAGCCCAGTCTTGGGCGTCACAGCTGAACCCGGTTTTGATGCAGTTGTGGTGGGCCGCTTGATACTGACAGGTGTAGCTATGCTTGCTACTCTAGCACGGCTAGCTGGTCGGGTTTCAGGTTTGGTTGGATGAGAACTCGTCGTCACAGAAGCCTTGGCAGGTCTAGTAGGAGCAGGTGTTGTACTAGAGATATGCGAAAGGTTCGTACGAGATTTACGAGGAGTAGGACTTTTTGCTTGAGCTCGAAGTCCGGGTCCAGCTCCAAAGGGAGGTATTCCAACGGACGCTGTCGGTTTGGGTTTCACAGTACTCGTCCCACTCACTGCAGCTCCTCTCTTAGCGGGATTGATGTTAGTGGTGGTTGAGCCCATGCTATCGACCCTTGTGCGAGACTTGGGAGCAGAAGATGCAGCACGCATTCGATCATTGTTATTGGTGCTTGGGCGGGATGGTGAAGATGGTGTACGTTGAGAGAATTGAGGTTGTGCCGTGGTAGGACGGCGAGCTGCTGGATGAGGACCTTTGCCAAGGGGGCTGTGCACTTTTCGAGTGATCGATTTCGAAGGAGAAAGTCCCAGGGAGGATTGATTCCCAATGATTGACTCTGGCTTGGCTTTGGGAAGTGATGGTCCATTGGAGTTACTGCGTGTTAAAGAATCTGTACGGCCACGAAGGACAGGAGATGAAAGGACAACAGATGGAGGCGTATGGCTACCATCGGCAGATCGAACCTTGGCCAAGGAAGCAGCAGTGGGAGCAGTGACATTGGTGACTTTTCTAGTACGAGGTGCACGAATTTCAGCCAAGACTGCAGCGCGAGGTCTAAAGTCAGGCTGATCGAGTGCTGATGGTGTGGAAGAAGTCTTGACTAGCCTAGCTTTCGTAGGGGAATTAGTTCGAGATAGAACCTCAGTAGGAGGCACAGAAGATTTGTGAGAGTTTGAATGAATTGAAGAATGTTCTGAAGTTTGGGTTGTATGGGTTGGTCTGATAGGCATCGGCATGGATTGATCCATCGGAGTGGCTGGAATGGTTTCTAGTCGAGGAGCTAGAGGAAGTGAAATCGTTTGGTCTACTTGGATCTTCTCCAACTGGGATGCGGGAGTATGAGAAGGAGAGCCATCCTGATTTAAAGAACTGACGATTCGTGAAGTCGGACTAGCATGAAGTTGAGGACTGCTGGTATTACTGTAACCGCTTGCTGAACCAGAGCTGGGTTGACGACCTCTCCAAAGAACCTCTGTCTGAGGTAAAGCTGCTCCACCACTTCCTACAGCCCAAGATCGACGACGATAGGCTGGATCATCTGGACCGATACTGAGACGTTGTTTAGGAACAGGTGGGACAGGTTTCTCATCGGATTGATCTATGTTTTGCTGAAAGCGTTTGATGAGAGAAGATGCCTTGGGTGCGGGAGTTTCAATGGGTAAAGGCCTGATAAGAAATGAGTCAGTGTCGTAGTAAGGATGAAAGGACGTCAAATGGGAAGAGCTTACATTCTGATCTGATGCAAGCTTATCTATGGATGTCAGTGTGATTGAATTATGAAACTGGTGAAGTGATACCGTGATGGGGGCGAGTAAGAGTTTCATGAAGTTGAAGTGAAATGAAACATTTGTGCTTTACGAGTTGTTGTGTTGATGGTAGTGTGATGATGGTGATGGGTGATGATGGTGATAGGTTGTAGATTGGTGGTGTCAGTGATGTGGCGTTGAAAGTTAAATTTCTACTAAATTAATTAAGTATGTGATCACATTCAGTTATGTCTCTAGGTTATACCCTTCAACTTGAATGGTGAAGATGACAACGCTCAGCATCAACTACAGAATGAAATTGACAAGGCAAATCAACTCAAAACCCTTTCCACTGCCCTTCCACTCTTTGGGTTTGGCATTTGGATGACTTCAATTTTCAGCTCAGCTTCTGTTTATGTTCACAACTTTGGTTTGTTTTGCATATACGCCCTTCTATATTACGTGAATATGTAGCCATTTCTAAAACAATTCTTTAACAGGTCATTTTATCTTAATGGGAAATACCACCTCAATCCATCATCCGTAATCTTTGCCTTCATTTTGAAGATTTTTGACCTGTACCCATTTGCAAGTCCATGATGTCATGATCCGTATCTGAGAAAAGGCCTTAACATCATATTGTTTTTTAAACTCACTCCTTGTTTCCTACCTCAAACACCCCTATAGGCTTTAGCAAAGTTGATAATGATTGTCCGAGTCTTGATCAAATAATGCCAATATTATAGATTTCTGAGTGTAGATACAAGCCTCTGCGTGGAGACAACTATCATGTAGATGACTCACAACATCACCCTCCTTGTATGACTCAACCCCCTCTTGGAGGACAGCATCTTTCCACGGGTTGGCATTCAAAAACCCAGTGGGAAAAAGCCTCACACTCACCAATTTCTCCTTGTTCTTTTGTATCTGAATTAAGCTTTTGAATATTTCAAATCAAAGTCTTTCATTATTTCCTGGGCTCTTTAAACCTTCCTCCAGCTCCCATGAGTCATTTTCTTCCTTATACCCTTTCCAATTGATCAAATATTGTATTTTTTTCCTCTTTTTCTTTTACAGCTGTTGTTGTTTTTGATTTTTTTTCTTTTCATATCCGTGGTTTTAAATCTTGCAGGAAAGGTCAAATCCGGAGGACTGAACACAGATCTTGATGCCAACATTTGAGCAGGCTTGACCTCATCTGCTCCCAATCCAGATAAATAACCCAATCGAGCAAAATACATTAACCGCGGATATGAAAAAAACAAAATAAAAAACAAACACAACCACTTTTATTTTTGAAACAGCTGTATCAAAAACTTACCTGATTTGAATTCTTCATTTAGGGTACTCAAAGTAAGTATGCACACGTACATACTTTCGTGTGCATACTTTTTTTTGGCGGGGAAAAAGAAAAAAATATACTTTTGGCCTTGGTCTCCCCGCCAAAAAAAAGTATGCAGCAAAAAGTATGTACGTGTGCATACTTACTTTGAGTACCCTAATTCTCATTAATTATGATTGGAGATAGTTGAACTTTATTTTGACTTGAGATGTTGCTTTTCTTGAATTGATGTAATAAGTTCACATGAACAACCAGGTGTATCTTCTTGATCATAGACTTGGGCAACAGAAGCAGATGAGCATTATTTGACACTCTTGCAGAAATGTAAAAGGTCCTGATCACTTTGAAAACTTTTCTGTTGGTCTGGTTGTTGACAGGGGCTTATTGTTAAGCCAAACCTTTTCTCCCATGGTTTATTCTGAAGTCAGTCAAACTTTCTTATTGAATTGGACCTTCCTTTGTTCTTGCGTCAGCTGCATTGTGTCTTTCAATTTTTATTTCACTTCCTTGATTTGGTTTAGTTGTTGTTCTACTAAAGGTGCACACTGTTTGCTGGATGGAATCTCTGTGAAGCATATGTCAAAACCATAGTTAGCTTTGAAAGGGATATTCCAGTTGCTGCATGCTGGTTGTTGTTGTAAGAAATTCAGTGAATGGTAATGATTTGTACCAATCATCATGTTTATAGAATGTGAAATGCCTCATAAACTGCTTCACCACGTTTTTATTTGCAATTGGCCATCATCTGATTGTGATATGCTATTGATGATTGAGTCTTGATACCCAGTTGTGCATTAAACTCCTTTGTAATCCTTGAGCTCAATATATTTCCGCAGTATGATGCGATTGTTTGCAGAGTTCAATGTAGATACCATAATTCATACATCATCAGATCTGCTAGGTTACTCAATGTCATGTCCTTGTTGCAAGGGATGGAGTGGGCCATTTTTGTCAGCTGATCTACCACTGTCAGGATACCATTAAAGTTGTTTGCATTTGGGAGATTAGTGATTAAATCTTAGCAGATGTCCAGGCGGGTCCCTTCTGTTGTGTCTGGAGTGTAAAGATTTTATGTCAACATTGTCTGGAAACACTAAATTCTTCTTGAACTACAGTAGGCCTTTGACTACACCATACACCAGGGGGTAAGTGACACGTTCCAAAAGTAGGATTGATAGCGTTACAGACACGCTACGACATTTCAATTGTTTTGGGACGTGTCCAGAACGTGTCCAGGTTTTTCAAAACAAAAACGCTGCCATCACGTAGCAGTCACCGAAAAGCAAGCTGCATGCAAGAGTGCTGAACCCATCGATTGACAGCTCAGCCGAGCAAAAACTGACGAGGTCAAACACATCACATCACAACCAGATGGTTGCACTTGGGTCAAGGTATTGTCTCATCCGAGTCTTGACCAACCTTCATGCCATCTTTGACTACGATTTTTGGTCGTCTTGAACCCACAAAAACCGGTGAAAACAACTGATTGTCACACGGTTCTCCTCATTTTGTTACCGGAACCGCTTTGTCTTGGTTCTCGCAACAAAATTCCTGGACACGTTTCCAGAACGATCCAAGGCCGAGGACCTTTACCCCCTGGTGTACCCTTCAAGTAGCTTCAAAGCAGGCATATCTTGACATAACTTTATTATTTCAATTATAAACTTATTCTGACAGTACCAGGTCACTTAAATATACCCTTTATTACAATCAGAAAGAGAGATTTACATTATTATTGAACTTTGTAGACTTATTAAGTCATTTGGGAATGATATCAAAATGACATCAAGCATTTCTTTTTGTTATCTGAGTAGAACAGTACTAAAATTGTTGAGAAACAATCATAATAGGCTCTTCTTCACTTTGCTCGGTCACTTTCAAAAGCTACCTTTGTTTTAGATTTGTGCTCTTTGTTCTTTTAAGCCCTTTGAAGATACTTTCCTCTTGAACCTATCAGTACACAATTCAACAATGGTCTTTTCAAACTGTATCATCTTAGAAGGGCAGTCTTTGAACAACTTCCGCTAGTTTTTTTGTCAGTGGATCATCCCCTTGAAGCTCTGTATACCCCTTCACTGTGCCCGTGGAGAGCGCCCCTGACGTCGGGGGCTCCAACAAGTACAAAGGCTTCCCTTTGTACTCTTGAGGGCCCCTGACGTCTAGGGCGCCCTCCACGGGCACAGTGCTTGTTGGGTCATAAGTTCTACAATTTACAATGTGTGCCTTGATAATATTTTGGATGAAATATTGAAAGAAGCCTGGGGCACCAGTCAGACAAAAAGGCATTGTCAATGGTTTAAATTATCCACCTTTTCAGATGAATACTAGTTTGCTTCATCCCCTTCCTGTACCTGCAAATTATTATATCCATTTCTCATGTTAAGACTTATAAATTGGTTGGTATTCAATAGGCTGTCCATTAATTCCATTGTAACAGCTAATGGATATTTAGTCTGATTGTGGCAGCATTCAATTTCCGAATAGTCAGAGCACAGAAATAACAAATGTTAATAATATCAATGATCCCAGTATCTTCCATTTCAAGAGTATTTACGTCACTACCCTTGGCAGTTAAGTTATCTTTGCCCAAGTAAGGCAGAACCAGCACTCCTGGGTTTTTTGAGACTTCTGACCTCTCTTCTGATCTATCTCCTTCCTGTACTCTGTCTGCTCAGCCATTCTGGCTTTGAATCTAATTAATCCTCTTCCTCACCAGTTATCTCTTCCACTCCTCTTTCTTCTATCTGAACAACTTCCCACATAATGATCAGTATTTCCACAGATACAGCAGGCTTCTATCACCCCTTGTCTTTTGGATTTCTCATTGAAGATGGTGAATTGGTATGCTTACAGGGATTGTTGGTATTGCAGTTGTCAAGGTAGGTTGAGCATCCACAGGCAGTGGTTGTTTACTGGTGTGACTCACATTATTGAATACCTGCTTGTAAAATACAAAGAAAACTCATAATGGAGCTGCAAGATCTAGGAACAAGATGCATTATCATATTTTGTTTGGATTTTTTGCTCTCTTGCTTGTGTCTCAGGATTTCTCTACATCAATACTTTTCTTTTCTGTCCAGAAAATATTACATTTTTGGTAGTGTGACCGATCTCATGTAATTGGAAAAAGTCACCAAGACAATTCTTCAGAAACCAAGCTGGGCACTGCAAACGACCCAAAAATCACTTCACAGTGAGAGAAAAATACTGTTACTGAATTGTTCAAACTTTCATCATCAGGGTTAAAGTCACCATTCAACTTTTCTTGAATTTCCTCTTTGCAAGCCTCACCTTGAATCTCACCAGTAACACCAATAGGGTTTTCAAATTCATTAAACAGTATGTTAGATTAGACTACAGAATTGACCAACAAAACCGATTCATCATGTCTGAGTCTTGAAATCAATGCTTCTCTTTTAGTATCCAAAGTAGCCCAGCTGATCCCAATGTTTTCAGTCTGGTTCTGATGACTAGTAAATAGGTGTTTATCAATTTCATCAGGAGGAATGACAATGGCTGTTACTTTATCTGTTTTTCCTGATTCTTTGCCTACATCTTGTGAACAACTTTCCCCTTTGCTTAGATATCCTTCTGCAAATCTTTGAATTTCAGTTAAATTGAAATTATGGTTCACTTTTCCATTGTGATTTCTGCTAAGCCTATATCACTGTCAACATCATGACTTGAGAAAAATCTACGACTCTTGGGGAAACAGCACTGCTCATGCGGATGCCTCAGATTCAACAATCTCAGGTGTCCTTCAACAAAAACACCCATATTGGCCCTTTACAGTTCAATTAGCAATCTCCATCATAGAGTAAATATTTTGCCCCAGAGATCTTTGGCAAACATCTGGGATCCAGTGGTACTGCTCAGAAACTTGTCCAAGGTAGATGGCATCTAAAGAGTAGTAAAAATGAAATAGCAGACAGCTGTCAAGCCAAGTCTGGAGAATGTGAACACACAGTCCAAAGAGAATTCAATTTGATCAGACTACCTGCTGAAGGCACTTCAGATTTTGTAGGACTTTTGAATGAGGCATACTGGTTGAGGAGTCAAAGATGTGTACGTTCAATATGAATCGGTCATTGTGTAGGGTCCATAGCAGCTCTCACAGATCCTCTCAAGACAACAAACCGATGATGGTCGGTGTATTCCATAAGATATGGAGATCATATGTCAGGTTGACTTAAGCGGTGATCTCAGCTCAAATACGCACGCAGGGAGACAAGCAAAGTTCGTTAAATGTGTCGTCGTAGCATGATACTCTTCATTATTTTTTTCAATGTCACCCTAACTCTATTCCATCATTCGTTACACCATGATCGCGTAAGAACAAATGCCGAGGAGAAAAAAGAGAAACGGAGATGTAAAGATGGCACTTTCTATTATATGTCAAGATAAGCCAAACCAAATCGAGGTAGAACATGAAAGTTTCAATTTAAACTTTCATTTCGTTGAGTCCATCTTTCCAGCTGGAAGGGATACAATTTGTAAGTTTCAATTCTGATTGGTGATGGGTCCAAGAAGATGACTTACAAGGTAAAGTATGGTGTTACACCATCCTCTCGGTAGTTGAGTAAGGCAACCATTCTGATGCGAGTCGCACAAATACAACAAAATCAATGGCTGTGACCTATAACTTGACTTCTCATAAACACTTACCCATCTGGGTTCATCTTTTCACCAATGTAAAACTCATAGTCTTTGAAATTTGCAACAATATTCTTGGCAGCTGCAGCGGCTTCCTTTTCGAAATCGGCCACTCGGTCGGGCTTGGTTTCTTGAAGATGAGCTTTGATGGCCTTCATGTAACCCTTCAAGTAAGTCAAGTAAGACTTCTTATCGAAAGAGGTTGCTTGAAGTCGGAAAGTGTGAATAAGACTGTTAACCTGAAATGTGCACAAGATTGCAAATATCAATATGATGAACTGGGTTGGGTTGATAAAACACAATACTAACAGTCACGGCTCCGTCTTCAAGGGCTTCTGCTTGTTCTTCAGCTGAAGCATTTGCACCAATGTCTACTTCACCATCCTTGACGACCTCCATGGGACAGTTGACCTCCCAGAAGACACCTTGATTTTCTTTCATCTACGGGAAGTCGAGTGAGTCTTAGAGTTGGATTGAAAGAGGATGAATCCTGTATAGCACCTAGAATCATGCTCGAGGACTTACTTCGAAAGCATCTGAGCAGACCTCGTCTCCACTGATAACATCGGTAAAAATAATCATGATGATCTGTTGATTGTCGTTGAGTAAATTATGAGATAGGTTTATCGTATCGAATTCAAGTCCGATGTGAATGAGTTTTTTTGATAGAAGAAAGAGAACAGATTTGGTTCAGCAGTGATGGCGAGCAATCAGAAGAGTTTGAGGAGATACCCACAGAGTGATTGGGAAGTGAGTGACTTTTTTTTTGAATGCGGATGAAGTGTTGAGATTGGTTTTGGAAGTTTAAAGGAGAAGAAAGGACACCGGACGCATACAAACAGTTAAGTATTAAAGTCTGACCGAATGAGTAAATACAGTTCACAACCACAATTCAAAACATTCCTCAATTTTTTTTCAATTGAACCCGCTTCAGCACGATCGGAGTCCGAATCGGGGAAACCCTGATCGTGTCCTACATAACCCTTATGTCTGACTCTTAAGAGGGCTGTGGCACGTGACAGGCCCATTTGCTGCGAGCTTACCAGTACGCCGCAGCACATGAGCGCCAGATTGGAAATTTTGAGGAAGGACACAGAGAGAAGTATTGAACCAACCAACAAAGCAAAACATCACATCAAATCAAAGTTAGAACGTCTTTATTGAACATAATATGCCAAAGATTAGAAAGAGTGAGTGAATCAGATCTTATAACCACAATTGAATGATGATATCTGACCTCTCTCTCTTCGCTCACCTACTCAACTTATGCAGAAACTTCCAAACGTGGCACCACAAGAATGCGCGAAAAGATTAAACACAAGGTCTCAGAGGCTCACAAAAAAGCGAAGAAGCATGCAAAGAAGGATGTCACATGGAAGAGTCGTAGGTTATTTTCATTCATCTTTTGGAGTCAACTTTGTTCTAAAAGTGTTTTTCTTGTCGTCACAGGTGTCAAGAAAGATATTGGAATTCCTAATTTATTTCCATACAAAGAGCAAGTCTTGAATGAACAGCAACAAGCTAAAGAACAAGCTAAGGAACAAGTGAGCGCATTTCACATTCCATGGCCTAGGATTATACTTAATATCTTTATCTTGCGCCTTTATAGCGAATACTCGAGAAACAGAATCAAAAACTAGCCGACGCCAGTGCTTCAACTAGTGCAGCTGCTCTTGCAGCTACCATCGAACAAGGCGACAACGACATGGACCTCGATAACGACGACGATCTTGACGATGCTGCCGATGCTCCCGAAGACCCATCTCTCTCATCTGCTTCCTCTCTTCGCGCTTACGCCAAGTCACTTCGAAAAGTCTTGATGCTCTCAGACGTAGTAGTAGAAGTCCTGGATGCTCGAGACCCTTTAGGAACGCGAAGTATCGAATTAGAGAAAGATGCAGTCAAAGCAGGAAAGAAGGTTTTATTGATTCTCAACAAGGTTGACCTAGTACCTAAAGAGAATGTCGAAGGCTGGTTGAAGTACCTACGTAGATCTTGGCCAACTTTACCCTTCAAGTGCTCTACTCAAAATCAACGGAATAACCTTTCTTCCAAAGGAGCTGATCCAACCTCACGGAAAGGAGTTGATTCTTCATCAAATGCTTGCTCGACCCAGCCTCTTATGCACCTTTTGAAGAATTATGCCCGTTATTCTAGCTCTGCCTCTGGTTCTGCCTCGGCCGGTCCCTCTGTCAAATCTCTCGCCTCAATCACCGTCGGTGTCATTGGATTTCCAAATGTCGGCAAATCATCTCTAATTAACACTTTGAAGCGTTCAAAAGCTTGTGGTGTAGCCCCTACACCAGGTTATACAAAGGACGTCCAGGAAATCGCACTCGAAAAGGGACTCAAGATTCTAGATTGTCCTGGTGTGGTGGTCGAATCTAGAGCGGACAACGCGAAGGCTTCTGCTGCTCGAGTATTGAGGAATGCAGTCAAGGTTGAACAAGTCGAGGATCCACTCGGACCGGTCGGTGTCATCTTGGATCGATGCAAGGCTGAGCATCTGATGTTACTCTACAACGTTCCCGCCTTTACTTACAACGGTCAACCTGACGAGGATCGAACCAAAGAATTTTTGATTCATGTCGCTAGGAGTCGAGGGCGGGTGAAGAAAGGTGGAATCCCAGATTTAGTCGGCACAGCTCGTAGCATACTCAGAGATTGGAATTCAGGTCGGATCCCTTACTACACGGTTCCTCCAGCTTTACCACCAGCCGCATCGAGTTTACCTGCGGCGCGTTTGACTGTCAATCAAACTGACAGTGAACATGGCGAGGTAGGAAGCTCAAAGATCATGAATGAGTATGGTGTTGAATTCGATTTCGAAGCACTCTTTTCACAAGTTGACGAAGAGATTTTGGGATCCTCAAAGAGTCAAAAGGAGATGAGCTCAGTGGTCAAAATGAAGAGTGCGGAAATCAAAGAGGGTGAAGAGAGTGGGATTAAATTACTTGGTGAGATTCCGGGTTTGGCTGACGAGGAAATGGATGAGGAGATGTAAGTGTTCTATCTTGTCCCTATGATCTGGCTTCGTTGTCTTTGTCTTGAGCTGATCATCTGTTCGAAATTCTGGTTTTGTTAGGGATGGATGCGCAAATGAGTCAACAACCAAGCGAAGGGTTGATGTGATGGGTCCTGAGACGGTTTCTCTGCCTCCCAAAAAGTCGAAGCAGGTCAGCTTTGAAACGACTGTAGCTGAACCGCAGGTCAAGGTGGTGGGATCCAGTCAGGCAGCTCAACTAGCTCGAATGGGTATCGAAGGTGTTGGAGAGAACAAACGGATAGCCAAACAGGCTCGAAAGGACAAGAAGAAAGCCAAGAAGAATGCGGTCGCGGCTCTCGGAGCAGATGAAGAGATGAAGGACCCAGGACAGGCAGTTGCAGAGGATGAGGAAATGACAGATCAGCAACAGCAACCTTATAGCTTTGCTGATTTCTTTCAAGGTACCCTTGCAGTCGCAAAGACTTTGTAATACTATATTTGATGCTTGAGAGACAGACATGAGCGTCTGTTCTACATGACTTTTTGTGATTCAGGCTCACTTTCACGTTGTCTTCTTCACTTCTTTTTGAATCGTCACCAACATTGTAACAATCTGGTGTTTAAGAATTTTACCTTTGAAAGAAGTACCATTTCTTCCAGTATCTATATCTCAGGTAGCGAAGCCATTTGGTGAATATGGCGCCAACTGGCTCTGTTTGTGCACTTTATCTCAGTATGATTCATATTGCAGGTTGGAGAAAGTCACAAGAATAAATGTGTTCGGGCTATTGTGTAAGTAGGCCAGCGGTAGATATGGAAATGCTCAGATACAAGGATGTGGTAGGCCTCAAAACGTCAAACCGAGGGAGGATCATGCGTAATAGACGATCACAAACACTCTGATTCATAATTATCGATCATAGTCCCGAACGTTCAAGGGCAACCCTTCCATAGCGATCACGACTAGCGTAGGGCCGAGGTGCTGGGGATGGATCTTGATTGTGAAAGCCACTGAGTTCAATTTCTTCGGCATTCAAACCGAGTGGTATACGATCGTAGTTGATCTGGATAGCGTTGGAATGACCAGATTGGACCAGGTCGGACCACCAGTTTGACAAAAGCCGTCGAATAGGAGGTCCCATGCAAGTGGAAAGGACTGAGGGAGAAGCAAAAGACCGGACGGCGATAGTGAGAAGAGTTATCAAAGTTTGACAAGGAATGAAAGGTATTGACTTAAGAACGCGATCCAAGAGACAAATAGCAAGCCAACGCAGATTATCAACAGTTTAAGCGATCGTTCCATCACCGAGTCCTCTTCGTGGTAACACGTACCAATCAATTATCAAACCGAGAGTTTTAATGAAGGAATGAAGTGGAGGCTGGCTAAAGTTGCTAAACAGCGAGGAAGAAGAACGGGTTGAGAATGATATGTAAGTAATAGGAAGTATCTAATACAACTCACCGTGAGCAAGTTCATAAATACAACAAAAGCCAGAGTGACTATCTCTATGTACACTTAAACCCTTTCATTTATACTCCATTCATCCTCATCAGTGTCGTCCCTTCCTAATCCTTTCCATCCATCCCTAACCAAACGCAAGAAACAAGATAACATGCCATCAGTCGAAGAAATTTCTAGCAATACTGAATTCCAGAAAGCAGTGAGTCTTGCTTCTCTTTGTTTTGGTCTGTCCTTGTGTCCGAATTCTAAAGATTCATAAGTCACCTTTGTCGCCAGATTGAAACCGAAAAGGTGACCATTGTGGATTTTTGGGCTCCTTGGTATAAACTCAATTTCTGTACAAAGAACATCGTTGGACGCTTGCTCACGAGTTGTATATTTCCTTCTGTAGGTGTGGACCTTGTAAAGTCATCTCGCCCGTGTTTGAGAAGCTAGCTGAGGAAGATACTTCCTGCAAGGTGAAGTTTTGTAAAGTTAACATTGATAGCCTTCCGGTTGGTCTCTGTTGAACTTAAAGCTACGATTTCGATCAATCCTGCCGTGTGATTAACCTGAATAATTTGACTTTATTTTTCCAGGATGTTGCTAGCCAATATGGTATCAGAGCAATTCCTACTTTCATGACCTTTGTGAATGCAGAGAAATCGGATGTAGTCTCTGGAGCAGGCGTTGCCCAACTCACTGTTAGTGATATCTTCTGCTTCTTGATGTGATAAGATTTTTAGTGATCAATGTTCATTTGCCTCCTTCAAATCCAGGAATTCATCAATCGTTCTACTGGAGTCTGAAACCAAAACCGCGAGGCCATGACTCCTGCAGGATCAGAACATTTAAAAAGGCGTAAATCCATCACCTTTCAATCAAGAACTCTGTTGAAATCACGCCAGTCCCTACCACAAATCCAAGTATTTTGTATCAATTTGTTTAACAATGTCCTATCTTTTTCATCATGTCTACTTGTGCTATTTTTTGTTTTTCGTAAAGTGAATTTTGATAATTATGGCGTTCAAACCTGTGCAAGAAATTTGCAAGACCGACGTGCAAGATCCGTGCAAGAAATCTTGCACGGATCTTGCTTAATTAATTTTTCACAACCCCGCTTGAAAAATTAATTAAGCAAGCTGAATCATTACTTACCCATCATGCCACGCATCTCTGCTCGAAGACAAATGATTCGAACACTCAAGCGACTTGCCACTCAAGACAACCCTTTCAATTCTTCTCGCAGTCTCTTCCCCACAGTAAGACAAAAGGTTTTCAGCAGGTCATCTTCCGGTCTCACCACGTTCTGCCAGCTACTACAGCTCCCACAAACTCAAGCGGCGTTCAATCTCGAGCCTCACATGTGTGTCGCCTTGTGGATGATCTTTCAAAAACGAACCAGACTCCGATTTCTCAAATCAAGCCGAGCTGAACCCCAAGTCAATCAAGGCTTATGGACACTTGCTATCGACATGATTGAGCGAAAGCGCTACTTTGAAACAAGACGTCGCGAACCTCGGGGATATCAGCTGTCGATGTTCAATAGAATCTGGGGGTCACGCGATGTGACGTTTTTAAGGATTGTAAGCTTGCTTATCTGTGATGGTCTAAGACGAGGTTGTTGAGCTCACCTGCATGTCACACTAGGCTCGAATGAATCGGCCTAGCTACTTAGCTTTGCTAAATCAAATTGCTTCTTGCGACGTTTTTCAGAATCAATCGACCTGTCCACAGGCCCCAGTCGAACTTCAATTACTGGTCACTCTGGCGCATCTTGGACTCTCTGGAAACGGGGGTGGAATCGGGATTCTCGCTCATACCTTTGGCATTTCAGGTGAGCTTTGTCCTACAGATAATGATATTGGACAAAGTCGTGATTTACTTACTTTGGGTGACTTGGTGGTTTCAGAAGGTAGCGTTGAGAATTTCACTTGGAGATGTGTAGTTGCAATTGTTCGATTAGAAAGTCGATACTTGACTTGGCCAACACCTGAGGAGCGAGTTGACATCCGAAGAGCTATTGGCACCAACAGTCCTTTCAAAGGATGTGTTGGTTTTGTCGATGGAACACTGATACCCCTTGCCTTTGGTCCTCCAAAGTGCAAAGAAGACTATTATACTCGAAAATATTTCTATGCGGTCAACTCGATGCTTATATGCAATCACAAACGCAGGATTACATTTGCTCGCCATGGATGGTGTGGCAGTGTTCATGACCAGCGAGTCATGCGTGCGTCTTCGGTAAGTTTAATCTTCAAGCTCACAACCTTTCATTCTGCTGTGTAATGGCTTTGAATCTGACCAAAACGTTATCTAATGGTAATTTGCAGATGTGGTCAGACCCGAACAATTTCTTTTCTGAAGGAGAGTATCTCCTGGCTGATTCGGGGTACAGCTCTCATTCTTTCATTGTTCCGGCTTTTAAAAGGGTGGGAGGAATTCCTCTCACGCGTAACAAGATGGTTTTTAACAAACTTTTAAGTGAATTACGAGTGGCGATAGAACATTGCAATGGTATGCTGAAGTCCCGATGGCAGTCTTTGAAGGACTTACGGTTAATTTTAAAGGATGAGAATTGTGTTAAGCGCTTGAACGCTTGGATTTCCGCCTGTTGTATCCTACACAACTTTCTTTTGGATCAGAATGACCAATTGAATTTCCATTACAATGTAACTTCTCCGCTTGATCCTGAAGACCCACTTGTTTTGAATGAAATATTAGAAGATGATGATGAGGACACCCAAATGCGTGTATTTCGACTCTTTTGTGAATCGTTGTGATTTTTTTGGTCTATGTGTTTGGATTATCTTTTAGATTCATGTATAGGTTCCTAGTGCCTCAAGGCTTTGTGTTGTGGTTTGTTTGTTCATCCTGACTCGTTTAAAATCAACTGTTTCATTTTATTGGAGTTGTTATAATCAAATTTCAACTGATGACTCATTTTCAAAGCGAGAGTTTACAACCACTAATTTAGAGAGATCAAACAAACAACAACAATCAAGAACACATTTCAAATTTAGAATTCTGAGGGAAACGAGTTGGAACAGTGGATTTACGAGTCTTAAATGACTCTACCTAACATCAAATCAAGGAACCGAGTGATCAAAATTAAAAAAAAACAAAAAAGTTTGAGAATTGAAGTGATCTTAATTTAACAAGAGGTGAGCTGAATCTCAAAATTAGCCTTGAGATTCTTCTTCGAGATCCCCTAGTGAAACAATCAATCAAAATATTAGCTGGTCTATTGCATTGAGTGTAGTTGTAGAAATGAAATGGTGGGTGAGAAGACAAAAAAACTCACTTCGAATTTGATTTTCGACCTCTTCGACTTCCTTTTTGGCTTCCTCGATTGAAAAGCCCAAAGCCTTGTATTTCGCTAACATAGCCAATTTCCTTTCACTTCGGGCCGTGATGAGGTCTTCCCGACTACGAGCCAACTGAGCCTGAGTGAGCTTGAGTTGAACTCGATCTTGTTCAAGCTTCAGTTGAGATCGTTCGGCTCGGCCGTTTTCGTCGAGATGGTCATCACCTCCTGCAAGGTGACGAGAAACCGCATCAGCCAATTTAGCCTGGGTTTTGAGCTCCTCCTTTCGTGCATCTTGTTCAGCTTGCATGTAGTTTTCTTCGAAGATCATTCGGTCTTTCTCGAGTTTGTTTCTCTCTGCTCTTTCATCACGTGAAGGTAGTTGAGATGATAATAGATTGTGTACATCTGACGCAGAGCTGCAGGATGACTTAGGTAGGTCATGATCCAAAGTAAGTCCTTTTGGACGTCTCGATGGTCTTCCAGGTGGACAACGTGCACTTCCTCTTTCACTTTCATCGTTTGGGGTAGGTGAAGCTCTTCGGTTTTGAGAGTCTGTAAGAAAGTTGAGAGTGCTGTCTATATCTTGAGTGAAGTCGTCCTCTTGATCCAAAGGGCTTTCCCAAGGCGTGTTTGAGGGTTCGAGATCCTGCACTATGTGCCTAGAAGATCCAATGCTGATTGGACTCACGTTCCGAGCGCGCTTTGTAGAGGGAAGGACATCTTCTTCATCTAGAACTTCTCCACTCTCTCGTATAGCCTGTGGTATGACATTGGTTCGGGTTGACATAAAGGGTAGGAGATCGTAGTAGAATGAGCATCTTTGGAACAAAAGCTCTTTATAGGGGTGAGAATAGTCCATCAGTATTGGATTTTTCAGAGCTCGTTTCAGCTGGGTATCAAATGAACTTACGGTCGAATTTGGATTTGGTTGAATGCTCTATTGACCTCCACTCATCACTATCGGATATGTAGCCATTTTCGATCTTCTCCTCTTGAGCTTGTTTTTCAAATTCTTCCAAAATCCCTTGGCCAGTGCTGGTGCGAAAGTCTTGGGCCACCGTGAAGGTCGATTCCAGGGTACAGATCTACATCAAATGTGCAAATATATGTTAGGTAAGTTTTTCAAATCAGAGAGAGATTGTGCATTTACTTACCTGAGTTTCTACACCTTTTCCATCTCTACCTGGTAAACCGTTTTCCGCCAAATACTCAGCAATCTTTTCGCCAACATCCTTTTTACTGTAGATCGATCGTGTGTCCACATCCATCTCTCCCTTCCACCAATCATATCGAGTGCCAGTTGTAGTTGCAGTTCCCAACCACTCGATTATCAGAACAATAGCACTTTTTCCGTCAGCATTAAGATCACCTTTCCATGAGACATTTTTTTTTCATCATTTTTTTTTCCATCATTTGAATCTCGTGACGCAGGTGTTTGATTATTAGATTTGCATGAAGTCTTCCTCCTTGTATATTTACGTTTTTTTTTTGGTGGATCAACACTGGGATTGTTTTGAGTCGAAGAATCCAAAGGTTGGCTTGAAGTGACACACATAGTATTTGTTGGAGAGTTACTAATCTGAGTTTGTTGCATGTGAGTACTAGAATAAGGTAAGTTCCAGACAGGTGGATTCACGGAAGGTGGGATGATAGCTAGCTGAAGTGGATGGCCAGAGATTGGACTTGGGCTTTGGACCCAGTTTGCCGGAGAAACAATTCGCAGGGGGGTGGCGATGCTTGAATTGGAAAGTTGCGGGGAGATTACTTGCAGGTTTGGGTCGAGATGCATGGGAGTTAAGTTGGATTGAACCCCAGGTGATGGAGGGGATTCCGCCATTTCTGTATGTGTACATCAAGGGCAAGCTGAGTTTGATTGTAGGCCTCAAAGCCGGGAAGCCTAGGTTAACATAAATAAGTCTTAAGTAAGCAAGTTCCGTGCAAGTTCTATGCAAGTTGTTAAAAAAACTTGCACAGAAATCTCACGAAAATTGCAAATTTCTTGCACAGGTTTGAACGCCATAAATACATGTCATTTTCATTATGTTTACGTGTCTCTCACAGAAGCAAAAGAATGATATGCCAAATTGTAGCAATAAAACCCTCAAATGTTTCCAACAATTGTCTAAATGAATACAAGTATTCCATTTGGTTAAAATCAGCAGACCAATCTGTTTGAACATAATCTCCTTGTGATGTGCTGTCATAACATATGGAAGAAAACTTGCTGATTGTCCCTACTCATGGTATTTTGGGCTCTCCAAGGTTAAGCTTTCTTTCTTTTAGACTATGGTCATAAAAGATTCCAATGTATACCCTTTCAATCAACTTGGTCTTGATCACACTCTTCAGCCTCAATTAATAAGATACAACTCCTGTTTAAAACAATACCTTCTGGTGTATTTTTAATTGCTTCAAACTAGGACTGAAAATACCAAGAGTGAAACATAGGATGGTTAGGAAAGTTGAAGTTTTCAAGCATGCATTGTTTAGGAACTTTTGGCAATGGAAGTGTCAAAGAATTGGGATATGTATACACTTATCTATGATGCATAGATTGTGATTTTAGGGTTAAGTTCAGGGTCTTTTGTCATAGAACTGAAGTTTGGAAATCTTGCATTCTGTGTGTGAACTGCTGGTAAGAGCTGAGGTGACTGTGATGATCATTATCAACCCTGTGCCAGCAACGCACCGCACCACAGAAAGCGTGTTTTTTGGTGCGTTGCTCCGCAACACGCAACAAAGCCCAGCGGCAGACGCTGCGTTGCGGTAAGTACCGCAACAACAAAACGTTAGCCTGGGTTGCGTGGCGCGCTGACCGCCACGCAACGCAAAAGGCGCAACAGCGCCAAAAAACCGTCAAATTTCAAGTTTTTTTGGGCAGTGACGCAACAAATGTTGTTGCGGCCCAAAACAACTTGGAATTGGACACATCTTGTTGCGCAGCAGGTCAGGCCGCAACTTCAAAATGGATTTTACAGTGCGGTGCGGTCAGAAAAACCGCAACGCAAGCGCAGCGCAGCACGCAACACTTGCGTTGCTGGCCCAGGGTTGTCATTATGTAGGATTATGTGTGTTATTCATGCAGATGCACAATTGGATCAATTGTCAATGGCTGACACTAAGTACATACACTGTAGGTGTACCCAAATATTTGTAGGAAAGACCATTGGTTATTCAATTCATTATCAAATCTTCTGTGATCTAAGAACATCATCTTTACCTGGATCCTTGTCACTCATATTTGATCTTGTGGGTGTTGGCTCATGCTGGTTTCACTAATATTAATAGTCTGCTGCCCCACTGCTTCATTAGTCTCTCTATGGCACTATTAGAGATCTATAAATTTTTCAGCAGCTGATTTGCTTATATAGAATTACACTATGTAAACTTCTGAAACACCTTTGGAAAGTATTAGCCTAACCATTAGTCTTTATTTGGTGCTGTCTTACTAGTATGACCTCACGTGTTTGTGGGGGCAAAAGACCGTAGACTACCTGGTAAGGGTGGCTCTCTGTATGGTGGGTGAAGGGGTGGGTGGGAGAAATGAAATGTTAGTGATATACTATAGTTTGAAAAGATTACCAATCTTGCTTGCTGTGAGGATTTGGGGGATGTGTGGCTAGTATGTGGCAGAGGTTGTGTACTCTCTCCGTGCACTCTGTCTAAAGCAAGCACCTCTTTGAGTATGTTGAGCTTTAGACTGCCAGGGCTGCTCATCCCCAATCCTCATGGAACTATACAGGTACTCTCATGCCTTTGGGCACCCATCCCATTCACATTGTGTGTTTGCTATCTTTTTGGGGGGCGCACCCAGGCACAGAAAACCAGCTTCTAGGGACACACCCCGTGTGAAGCAAAATTACAAGGCACTCTTTCATTGGAACATGTGTATTCACTATCAAAAAACTTGGGAGACATAATATTTATCACATTGATCTTAAGAACACATATTGAACAACCCTTATGTTCCCTATGACAGCAGGCCACCTATTTCATTTATACAAATGAAACATCAACTCATTTCAAATCTTAGCAAACTCACTGCATTCACATATAATATTCATGAACTCTAATTCATTTTTCCCCATTTCATTACCAATAAAAATTAATCCTCCATTCAATATAGTAAAGAATATATACATACATAAAAGTGGATACAATGAAAACTTGATACATACAAAATCAGATTCAAATCAGATAGAAAATAAATAAATAGAGAATGATGCTGAAAGAAACTGATTGACTTAGAATATAAAGGAGACATACCTAGAACAAGGGTGAGCAGCAAAATTGAATTGACGGAGGCAAGAGCTGATTGATAGGGAGAGAAGAATAAAGTTATCAGTAGGAAAGGAGCAAACCAACTACAAAGAGAAACAAGTTAACTTACCTAAATCAAGAAAGGGGACTAATACCATAAATTATTGAGAGATCCTGTAGGGAAGCAAAAAAGATCTGATTAGCATAGGAAAAGAAAGACAATAAAAAAAGGAAATGAATATGCCCAATGGAATAAAACATGTAACAAACCATTGATCTACAAGAAAATACAGCCAAGAATCAAAACTGGAATCTATGCAGCTAATAACTTACAAAAAAAGGTGAAGGTGGGGGAGTGGAGAAAGATATATGATGATGTCAGTATGATAGATACCAGTAGAAAGGAAAGAAGGCAACAACCGGTAAAATCAAAAATGAAACTTACCCCAAAGACCAATAATCAAAGTTGAATTGATTAATCTAGTTTAGGTCCAGCTGAAATCAGAATCCAAACAAACCAAGTAAAGATGACATATATTGAAGATGATTGAATGGGATTGAAGTGGAGATTTATTTATTGATAGACAGTGAGATATCATCATTAGTTAAATAGAACAAATATATTGGAATACAAAAGAAGTAGAGAGTGGAGAAACAAGACTATCCCTGGATTAATCTGAGAGAGGAGGGGAAGATGATGAAGGTAATTGGAGTGAAAAGCCGGGAGAATCAGCCGGATCCAATTGAAGGGGGGTATTGTGGGTTTTTCTTGTTGAAGTGTATCATTCTATCATTGTGTTTGGAGTGTCTTATGTGTGCATTGAATATTTGTGTCTTTTGTGTTATTTGTGTTGAAGTGTTGGTCTTCAAGGTTGCTAGCAGAGTTCAGTCTTGGTATTTGTTTTGTGATTATTGAAGACCAGCCTTGCTTTTGACCAGCAGTCTAGAACCAGAAGATTGAGGGGCCAGATTGCTTTTGAGAACAGTCCTCTTCATTTCAGCATCATAGAGACTACAGACATTGCCAAATCAATCTTCAAAGTTGCTGAGCAACTTACTAAAAAGGTAGACCTTGAACTCCTGCATCACTCCATCATTGAAACATTCAGAGTGAATAACTGAGAACTTAGTCTTGATCAGTGCAGCCTTTTTCTTTCCCCCACAAACCTTTATTGGGGAAGGCTTTTTGCCCATCTCAGGTGTCTCTTCCATGGGTTGATTGGTGTCAATTTGCGAGAATTTTCAACATCACACCCATTGAAAATCAATCTTTGTCTCTGAAGAGATGTTGGTTATCTGTTGCCTGGCACCAAAGGGGTCAGATTGATGGATGAAGTGCTAGGGCAGCAGCTTCATCCAAAATCAAACTTGGTGGATCAAATAGAGAAAATTGTTTTTTGATTGATTCAAAGCAGATAAGGAAAACATCAGGTTGAAAAGAAATTGATTCAATGGGATCAATAGCTTTATTGATAAAATTGTAGACAGTTGGATGTATACAGGGGCAAAAAGGGATCAATTGCTGTTATGACTGTGTTTAGCTAGTTTTCTGGGTTCCAGCCAATTTGATAGGAGTGCAGTGGGTGGCGGGGTTGTGATTGTCAAACAAATGATTTTCAAAGTTATTCAGGTAGATCTGCAGGACACTCGACAATTCCTCTCATGGGGCAAACACAATTGGAGGTCAGAAACCCAGTAGGATCTGAATATACAAAAAATCAAAAAATCCTACCATTATTTCTCACAAGTGCGGTAGATCTGGTTTGTAGGTTGTATGCTGATGAGGTATGGTGAATCTGAAGTCCATTTGGCTTTTGATTCATGAATAACTTGCAGTGAATACACTGTGCAATTTCGCAAGCTTGTGCAAGATTGTGTACTGCCAATATCAAGAGTTCTGTCCAGCAAAGCAATTGAACATGTGGGTATCAGGCAAGACCCAATCATTGGAGTTGCTTTCAGATTCAGATGACCACCGTTGTTCTTTGAGCATTGAGGATAATATTTTGTTACAGAATTTGGAGATGAGGTCTGTTTTTGACCTCAAGATCTCCTGCTATCTGCAGAATAGCTTGATATAGGAGCGCGCCCAAGCTCATCTTGAACTTTGCGGGCGCGGCTGAGCGTGCCTTGTCCGCGCGTTTTGCGCTGCACCCACAACATCATGATCCGCTCCGTTTTGCGCTTTCATTCAAAATGATCATGTCCCCGGTTGCACGGGGTGCACGATCGGACTTTCGATGACCCGTGAAAAATACGTCATCATGGCGATTGCTCCTGGTAACTCCGTGACGGCTTCTGAGCTTTACCCCACTACTCATACAAATCCTGATAAAGGTTTCCATCGACTGCCCTCAACTTCTGATTGCCTATTTCATCAACTTTCAAAATGCCGTCCGTGGAAGTTATCGCAAACATGGAGCAGTTTAAACAAGCGGTGGGTCTTGTTTACCTTCATTGTCGCGCTTGGAACTCGTTTTATTGATACTTTGAACTCAGATTGATGGTCCAGAAGTAGCTATCTTCGATTTTTGGGCCACTTGGTAAAGCTTCTCATCATCAGAATAAATCGCTGTGATAGTCTATCTCACATGCCGATCTCTCATAGGTGTGGGCCTTGCCGCGCCATTTCACCGCAATTTGAACGTCTAGCTGAAGCTGACACTTCAGGCAAAGTTAAGTTTTACAAGGTTGATGTTGATGCTGTTCCGGTTCGTATCTTCCTATATTCTGGATTTTTCATGTCCCTCCATGACGTACATCTTTAGGTCGCGGTTGAATCCCATGTATAAACAAACTGACGAGGGATGCATCTTACGTTTACCATCAGGCCGTAGCGGCCGAATACAATATCTCTGCAATTCCAACCTTCCTCGCAGCCAGTCAAGGAAAAGTCATTCACACTGTGAAGGGCGCGGATCCAGGGAAACTTGAGGTCAGTCCTAATTGCATGGTATTTGCTAAATTTGTTCACTGAACTTTGCATCCTGCGAATCTGCATTCAGAGAATGGTCAAGGATTGCGCTACTGCATGAGTCGGCGACATTGGACACCATTCGATGACAAGATGTTTTATTACCACGCCATCTTTCAGAGATTATCTCTCTAGCACGCGTATCCTATTTTGTATCTCCAACCTGATCACTTGTGAAATTGAGTAAATTGTGATTATGATCTCATAACAGACATCTAGAGCGAGCATGAAGCCCTGCCAATCCAAAAAATCATGAGTTGTATCAAACACATTAATGCTTTGTCCAGTAATTTTTCTGTTAGTCACGCGTCTATTTGTCCCTGAACTGATGATGTGTTGCCAAAGCACTTTGGTTATGAAACTTCAGTCTGGCATTTGTCCACCTCGTCACTGAGTGCATTCTGCTACTCGAACCAGAAAGCTCAGGTGATGTGCACCCCATGTGAACCAGTGTTCATATCCTTGACCAGAAGAGGTATTTCAGACGTTCAGACAAGAGATCAAAACTGGGATATCTCGTCTGAGTAAAAGTGGGGTTACAATCATGTCATCGAGTATGGTGCGTCTAGTCAGGGTACAGACCGAACAAAGTGAACATCAGACAAGTAGATAAAATTTTAAGATTGCAGAATGTTAAACAGGGTTCTACTCGAGGTTTAAAAAATGCAAGAAAATGTCCAACAAGATAGTCCACAATATGCAAAGGGGAAAAGGGCAAGCGTGTGCAATCAGCTATGATATCAAAGCCCCACAGCTTCCGGGTAGCAAGAACGAGAGAAAGAATATGGTTTGAGAAGCGACAAGCAGGTCTAAGACCAGAATGCCATCCCATTTTTTGATGTTGAGGAGATCTTCGAGCGTGATGAAATTTGAACAAGGTGCCATGGTTTAAACAGGTAATCTAGAAGGTTGAGCGTCTGGGCAATCTGAAGTAAGGTTGCGGCCTTTCCAACACTTGTGCTCCTTCTTGAGTGCGGCTGCATTTTCTGAGTAATGTCCTACATCCGCAGTCTCGTGTACACGGTCGACTATTTCAGGGATGCTGATGAGTTCATCGAGGAAGGGCTGTCGACGAACGAGGCCAAGGGGAAATGTCGACACAATGACAACGAGAAAGCTGGCCAACAAGAGTGTCCCGAGGTAGCGCATTCCGCTATCTGTCCACAGTGTGTATATAGAACGCCGCTGGTGAATTGATGCAGGTGTGCCTTCGGAGAGCGATCCCATGAAGTCAATCTCAAAACATCCAGAGCTGATAGGAGCTTATTAGGAGAGGGAGGCGGACATACTCTGCTATGCAAGGCCCACCGAAATGTGATGACTTCAAAGAAACGTAGTGTCGATTCTTTCCCAAAGAAGAAGTGATGGAAAAGTGCGAGGCGTGAGTATAAATCGTAAACAAACGTATTTCTGATTGAAGGTAACATAGATCACACATACTCAAGCGGCCAGAAGTAGCGCCAGCACTACCGCGTTACAATGGTTCTTGTGGTTCTCAGGGCTTGCCCGTTTGAAAGTTCAAAAGGTTGATAGGTATCTATAACGAGGCAGGAATAGAACGTCGAAATACAGTGTTTTCTGTGCGCTTGAACGAAGATTGGGGATGTGGTGCTATGTCCAAAGTGGCCTTCAATCCCAAGCTGATATAATGGCCTCCGATAAGCTGCGACAGGCTCAAGAAGCCTCCCTGGCCGAGGTTGGCTCTGCTTGATGGTGGTGGATTTCGTAGGGTCCGAGAGTGCTTCCAGCGTTATGCGCGACCAAAGAACACTTTCATATGCCCCTTTTTGCACCCTGTCGCATCTTCTTCGTATCGGTAGATTGGTATGTCAATTATATCTGTTTCAGGATGTATCAATATGCGCCACAAGCCATATCAGCCGAAAGTATTTTGATCGATACATGGGTCCCCCTAGATTGGATTAGTTGGGGTTATACATATCCGATGGAGACCCTTGCCCACGTCACATTGCACAGTGAGCGTATTGCAAATGGGGCAACGTCTTCTAGTTTCGGCAACGTATCCATCGAGAAATCATCTGAAATCATTTAAATCTTTAATTCTGGGAAAATAGTCATCTTCAGTCTTCTCGCGAATATTAACTTCCAAAACCTGCGGTGTCATGAAGCGGAGAGTTGCGGTATCAGTCTTCCTCTGAGACTATCTGAGAGGATCTCTGAGACATACAGGGATAGTATAATTTTTTTCTCGGGTGGCGCCTGATTTGTAAGAGGGGCGTTTCTTTTTTCTCTCTGACCTTCTTGGACCTACCCAAGCCTGTACGAACGTCTTTTGTGCAAGTGATGGACCCAAGAAATTTGCTCTGGATTGCTTCAAATGAGCAATGGATCCATGTCTGTGTAGGTTCATGTAAGAGCCGCTTGTTAGATCTACTACGGTCCAATGATTGGACACTTAGGCGGCCGTCCAGAAATGATAAGGTGATCATCAATCTACCCTTTTTGAATCGGCCGTTCAGAAGCGATAACATGATGATTATCTTGGTTTTCAACCATACTATACTATGGTGAATCAGTCAAATTCATCAGTTTCAATCGCATCAGACTTTGAAGTGATGCGGAACACTTATACGACTTGATTCACTAATGCCTCAAGTCAGATCTGACTGCGTGTGCGTCGTAGAAGGTGATAGCTTCGATTTGGGTTTTTATCAGACCTGCGTATTCGATAGGATCGATCGGAACAAACAATAAACAAGAGGATGATGCGGCTCACTACATACGTCACCCTCATCGGCGTAGGTATGCTTGAAGCCATCTACGGTGTAAGGCTTATCCAGACGACTGATTTTTTTGACCATCTTCACATTGAAGTTTGATTTCATTTTTGCAAGTTATCAATATTAATCAAATTTCACTTACGAACAAATCCATGTTTATTTCTGGGAGTATAACCTTCTTTTAAGATCTCAATCACGGATTGAAATACAAACCAAGTAGGAATCTCTTGGCCCCTTTATAATAATTTCCTAACTTCAGTTATCCTGAAATATCTTTGATTTTGATTTCTTTTTTGATCTCATTGGTTTGTATTCATTTGTTCTCAAAATCGACATGGTCATTTTTGTAATGAAAAATTTTACGGGTGGAATCATCTTTGTTCCAAGGAGTTGGACAAGACCTGACAAGACCGAGCCATAGGAATGGATTTATAATACACTGTACGTATGAACCATACAGTCCTACGAGCGGCCACCAACCTGTGCGTTAAGTGTACAACAAGCCACATTATTTTTCTAAATTTTGGATAGTCTCAGAGATAGTCTCAGAGCGAGATAGTCTCAGAGGAAGACCGATACGGTTACGCTCCCTCATGAAGAACCTCCTAGGTAAAAGACCGTCATATGTATGTGAGATGCACCGGTGGTGAGATGTCGTCATAGGCAAAACACTGCTAGCCTTGATGTATACTTTGATCCGAAAAAATAGACAGTTAACATAACTTTTACAGGAGACTCTGACAACCACGACGAGGACAAAAAGGATGTGAAGCCAACAGGTTCGAAGGACCCGAGGCAAAGACAGAAGCAGAACACCAGCACACGCATTTGCAGAGTTGGAGGTTGGTCTTGTGAGTGATTCTGCTCCTAATTTCGCGATCCTTCCAGCTGCGTGCTTGATCCAGGAGTGATGATTCAAGATCTTCTTGGGTTCTCTTCTTGATCGCACGAAGAGGGTATGAAAGAGTGTGATCGGTGCAGATGACATACTAAAATACGCTAAATATGCTCGATGAGCAATTTGTAATGACGCCTTGGGATGGAACGAGCATAAACATGCTGAGCAGAAAGATGGGAGAGAAACTGTGGTCACATGAGGTCGTGTGAACGGCTCGAATATTAGACAACTACAAAGGAGTCACATACTCAACACAGGCAGCAAGAACTCAAAATTAACGCACTCCCAGATTTGAATGTTTTGGCGAGCATACCAATCTTGTTCTGGGACAGGCATATTCGGAGTGCGACATGAGGAGGCTCGGATATCAACCAATCAACCACAACAGTTCCACTACAGATTGTGCTTAATAAAAATGTGGCATCTTCAACAACAGGTTAATCGGCCCATGGCTACATACAAAGGACTCAACAGAACAGACAAGGTTAGGGTGTTTTGAAGATCTAGGTCGTCACAATATTTGTGTACGCTGGCACCTTTTTTGAAGTTGAGCTGCAGGAGAGTTTTATCACTCATCAGATTCACCCTCAACATACTCTCGCCGGTGCTGTTCACGTAGTCGACGTTCTGATAATTCATGAGGAGACCCTCGTTTGAATCTGGTGCCGTGATTTGTTACGCAGATCATTTGACAGCATTTCGTAAAAAACGGTTAGCCGCTTATCTACAGAGCTGTTGATTCTAATGTAAAGACTCAACTTGTACATCAAACTTTCTTTTCTGCCTTGAATTTCATCTTCAAGCCCTGCATCACCCGTCGAAGCACTAGCTAAGGCAGCAGAAGCCATGACCACGGCGACTGTTAGGCCTTGGGCATACCTGTTAACAAGTATCAACACCAAAGAGTCTTCCATAAACGCAGTCACGACAAATATGAATAGGAGACAAAAGTAGAAAAGATGACACTCACATCCGCGCCTGAACAAGCTTTTGAGTGAACGGCATTGGTTGAGTTGCAATGAACCCGAAAGAGCCGACCATGGATGCGGCCCAACTAAGAAAGATACCATACGCGCAGGCCAGGCTGAACAACAGGGATCGGGTGCGCGGTGAGAGCTTTCGACTCACCTGCCTAATACATAATGATATTGATGATCTTTAAAATGTTCAAGCCATTTGGCTTTTTTACTCATGTTTTCGCTGGAACGGCTCTTCTGCTCTTGCAGTCTGTCGGTAAGACCCAATTTGCGTTCCAGACTTTCATCGCCCCAACCTATTCCCATTTTCTCAATTATTTGCTGGTCGTAGGCTCGCGAGCCACGGTCAGCGCCAACAATCAACGCAAAGGTCGCGACGGAGGTCACTGCGAAAGCTTTCAGAGGTAGCTACACAATCAAGAAAAGCCAATATCAATGACTACAAGGGGTGTTGAGATTGGGGTACTCGGAACGTTGTACATACTGTTAAACCCCTGAAGCCAGCCCAATACCGGTTCATAGCGATAGCTCCAGCCATCCCAGCGGCCAGGCCGGTCGTTCCCCAAGTCGCGCCATTTTTTAGGACGGCTTGATAATGCGCATCTTCTTCAGCTTGGGTCAGCAGCTGCAGGAACGAATACGGTGAGCATATTCTGATATCACGAAGCCCCAGACTGGAGATGGTGCGAGATTTCAAGGGCTCAGAGGATTACCTGACCTTCATGACCGATGGGATGTCAAGTCGCTGAAATTGACTTTAGTTAGTGTTTGTATTAAAAAGGTGAAAGCGAGAAGAGTTGAACTGACGAGCAATGAAGCTGCTCAAGAAGCTTCACCCCAATCCGAGTTTACCACAACCCTAGGGTGACATAGATGTTGTCCAAAACGTTTCGCACATGTCTTTAGACAGGTCTCGATGTTATCTGTGAGACGATATTGAACAACCTACTCCCATGAAAACCATGCGTACCGCCATCCACAAACGATGAAGCCTGGTCCTCAAACTGAGTTGGCTTGGCCGCCCGAAGACTTGTTTGATGTTCCAGAGATATCACACGAAGGCTTGCTCCCTTCTCCTTTTCACTTCTATCGGAAATCACAGCCGTATCAGCTCGCCCTCTTCGATCTTTGCGCGATGTTTCCGATTACCAAGAGTGCATGCGTTACGCGTGCTGCCCGGGTCAGTCGAGATCTCTCCTAGTCCGATTGATCAGTTCTCACCAAAAATGCTTCACAGCGAGTTGGCCGGAAACTATCATTTTGGGATGAGAAAGAGGATTGGATCTTTGTTTTGGGTTACTTCTGACCTCCGTTGGGCGCAAAATTGACAAGTTATCCCATTTTCCTCCCGCTCATCCATATGGTCACCGGAAGTAACTCTCTTCAGTTTTTCATTCAGTGAATTTTAGCAACTTATCAGGTAACTCCTCAACCTCATCAAAAACAACCCTCCGGAATACACTTTTCTCTGCGGATTGCTAGTCGGCTATGGCGGAAGCGCAGATTGGAACTATTGCGTTTGGCTTCACCCTTGGATTCAGCTTTTTCGTGGTCCGAAACGCTTTGAAACAAACACACAAAATGAACACTTTTATAATGCTGGTTTGGTCGGAGGTATGCGTCTCTACAATATTTTTATATGATTTACCAACGTGCATGAGCGACAGACTGACTTGTCTCATATGGCATTTGGAAAGATCATTGCCTACCTTCTTTACGCGTGTCTGGTTTTCTTGTTTTTGAATTACTTCATACCGCCCTCAATGTCCTATTTTCTTGTCGCCTTGACTCTTTGTAAGTCCAGAAGAATCAAACATCATCTGTGAATTCAACTGATCGTATTTTACCACATCTCCTTCGGCTCATAGGGGCCATTCAGGTGCGTTAATACCGGATTCCTTATGTAGAGTGTCGTGTTTTGACTTTAACTCTTGCTCTATTCCCCAAAATAGGTTCAGATCGTAGTCCAGATAATTGTGTGTCTATATCTTTTAGAGGCAAAAATCACGTTTGGCTGACTATTTGCCCCTTTTTCCAAGCTCAATCGAATATCAATGGTCTGGTCGAACCCTAGGCACAAAACCTTGCTTTGGTGGGGGGTTACCGCGTGGATAACTTTGATAAATATCTCAGTGGTATGAGATCTCACAAATTTCCACATTTTATTGTTCCAGCGCTGATAAGATGATGCGTTTGTATGTTTTCCAGTATTGTATTTGGCTACCAGCCACGTTACGACTTTCTGACAATATCATCATGGTCAATCGGATATGGGATCGTTTAGAGTGAGCCATGTTTCGTCCATAAACATTACAATGGATTGCTTCTAAACCGCTCTGTTTAGAAAGTTTCTGTACCTCTTGACAGACGCAGCCCTCAATGTGGTGTTTATTCGATCCGTCAAAAAACAGTTGGTTGCAAACGGATTGACAAAATAGTGAGTGATTTGCTACCCACCTACATTTGATATACAGTTGATACCCGTCCATCTAACACTTCATGGTACACAACAGCGATAAGCTTGTCAGGTTCAATACTCATATCATGGCGGTTTCACTTTCCATGGTACGTACCTCGAATCAAGGGTCAATTTTGAATCAGATTTACTAAACCACACGTTTTCGGGTTTCGCCTATGACCACAGGATTTACTTATAATTGGAATGATGTAAGTTTGCATTTACTTTATTCAATCGCGAATACTTACGAGGCATACTTAACCCCATTTTTCCTGTAGGTCTGCACCTGACCGGTAAGAACATTCTGAAGTCTGATTGCAAAAGTCTGATTCCTGACACTCCTTCCACATCCGACATCGTCTAGGTTTTTGTATCTTCAATTCCATCCTCTGGCTTATATGATCAAGCTGAATATTGTGCGTCTCATGCTGTCCTGAGGTTTTACTCTGTCAATCAAACTAACACCGCGATCTTTCTGTGTGCATCTCTACTGAAGGAAATGGAGATGAGCGCCATGATAGTTGCAATCATTCAATCAACACACCAGCTAAGGACTATTCACGACCACGAACCGTCCTGGGATGTTATGTCACGTTAGTGTCTCCAGATTCTTCCTACATGGCCAGGATATCACTCACCCTTGTCTTTGCTTTGATATCAGCTTACTCTGAGTGGTACGAAGACGATGACGACAGTCAATCCAAACGGCGAAAAAACTCACCTGTCAAATCAACGAGTCGATATCGACCACAGCTTCAAATATTGACCACTTCAACAAATTCACATCGCTTTCAACCAGCGGGTCCAGAGAAACCTCCAGCGCGCAGAAGCCAATCTGGCCATATTCCAATCGAACTACCGCCGATGGCACTACTAGCCGAAGATGTTTCCGATGAAGAAAAACCAAGTACATGGTCCGATTTTTTGAAATCTCCAATCATGACTGGAGAAGCATACTACCCCGATAGCATGAATTCATTTGCTATCATCTCACCGAACTCCTCGAGGTGATACCCTCAATCCAAATTTATCTGTCAACACTTCGAATCCTGGCTAACATATTGATTCATGATCGTTTCGGTAGTGGCGCGGTTCATCAGAGCAGCCAAGCAGTGAGCTGAAGAATATATCTAACTTAATAGGAGAATTTGAAATTCTTCCAATCAATAATCAACCAGGATCCTCAGGAAGCATTCAGTGTTACTTGATGAACCGCGCTTCATGACACCCGCGTCAACTAAAAACATAGTAAAAAAACATTACCTTCTTATTTTACACTCACTTTTCTGTCTTGTCTCTGTAAATCATCTTCACCATCTCATTAAATATTATTTATCATTATGCATGTGTCTCATTATGTAAATCGAAAATCGGAAGATACACAAATCTATGTCTTTTTAATTCTTATTTGAATACCATTTTTATCCTCAAGAACATCGTTACTCAGATATTTATGAACATTTGTGTCTGACTCGAATGGAAATATACCCCATGGTATTCAACCTATGCTCTTATACCCAACTCTCTTATTATCCTGTTGTAATCTCTGAATCATCTCTTGTAGTAAAACTTGTCATAGTCTCATCCATTAAGTAAATTCAGCATGTACGGTCTCTTGGGTTTTGCAATCTCGAAATCTATTTAGGAACACCTGATTCCTCCCGAGCCTTATTCAATTTTTGCAACATATACAAGTCTGTTCAAAAACCCTCAGTATCAATATGACGTTGGTCCAGAGCGAGATTTCATCATAAAAAGGGCAACATATCTCTGAAGAAGGGCGTAGATGAGATCAGAATTTGTTGTTGGGGATAGAAAGAGAGTCGCCTTTTCCATCAAGTGGAACGTATTATTGGAATTGGCTGCTCAAGTCTTGGTTTACAACATAGTAAATACTATCATCGATCCTCCTAATCCTTAGCAAAGGGCGGGAGCCTTCTTGTGTGTTAATTGTATGGCCATTCGTGCCCCATGAAGGTTTACAGATCATACGTCCTTCGAAAACCTGACGACTTCCACTTCATTCAGCCAAGGTCATGGTAAATGCGAGCCTCTCTCGTGCATTAATTCATTGACCTATTAAAGCACAACTTCATATCATCTGTTGGAAATTTACGCGGTGTGTTCAGAGCTCACTGTTATTGGTCAACACACACCAGATGCTTACAACAAGTCAAGATGTCTTCTGATTAATGACAATGTTTAGAAACTCATCAAGAATCAGCAGGACCAAAGAAATTTGTAAAAGAAGAATAAAAACAGTACAAAAGAGCTTTATGTTTTTAAATGTAGCATACACAGACCCTCAAGTCTAAAGGGTAAATCAGATAACATTCTTGGGAAATGTGTAGGGTGGCACATTTTTGCAAGTATGAGCTGAGAATCGCACACAAGGACTAAGATGTATACGATGAAGCGGTTTGACCCAAGCTACTACGAGACAACCCGCTACCGAAACTCCTGGCTGCACTAGAGCCAGTCGTTTCGCTACCACCCACTAATTCATCGTCATCTGGAAGCTCAGGTTTGATCATTTCAGCCAGTGCGCTGATTCCAAGCTCAGGTTTTCGATCCTCCTCGTCATCAACTGCGCGGTGCTCTTCATCTGGGGCTGGCAGCTCATCAATGTCACTCATACCACGTCTACCGGTCGATATGGGCTGATTGTCGACATCACTGAAGTCATCGAGTCCTTGGAGTAGAGGGGATGAGGTGGTAGAAGTTAACATGGAATCGCTGGACTCTTCTTTCTTGATAAACACTCCATCCGGTTGTTTTGTTTGAGATTTTCGTACGGCCACCAAACCCCATGTGCACAATACACTCGTGAACTCGGCGATCATGAAAAGTGTACAGAAAACGAAAAAAGAAAGGTAAGGATGATAATACATCAATGCCCTGGATGTAAATCAAGAAACAAAAGGGCAAGATTCAGTAAGTAGAAGCTCGGTTCTATCAAGAGTGTATAAAAGGACATACCTTAATCCGTCAAGGTGAGCCTCGAATACCAAGATCGCGTCATAGATATGAAGTTCACCCCACCCTTTTGCATGGGCCAAGGAGATGGTAGAACCATATGCATCATCTCTACCAACTTGAATCTCGGCGAGAGCCAAACCTCCTTTTTTGGAAAGAGAACTTGGATTGATAACCTTTTGGGAGAAAAGCTTGATGTCGAGATGCTGAACGAGTCGAGGAGCGGACAAGAAAAAAAGTGTTCGAAGATACTTGATTGTGTCCAAGGTTCTCGCCAATTGAGGTTGATGAATCAAAGAAGAATGTCGAGAGATACGATGAAGGATGACGTTCTGTGGGGGTGCAGTTTTAAGCGTGAGGCGGACCATGAAATTACCTGGAAGGAAGATACGACGTTAAATACACATGGGAGGTGAAGATTGGCATAAGGGTGACTTCGTGGTGAGCATCTTGTTCTGAAACGCAAGACAAGTGCTTACCAAGTTCAATATTCCGATCATTAACAGGAACAGTCAAACGAAGACTGACATCGTATGCCTGATCGATGGCAATTGGATGAGCAAGGTTTGAGAGGTCCGCCGTAGCGTATGGTACTCTGCCTTCACTGAAAGATATAGACCCAGGGTGGTCAAACAAGGCAAACTGAAGATCGATTTCATTGCGAAAAAGAATACGCACCCATATTGAAGCCACAGCGGGATACTCAGACCGATTTGAGGGACATAGGCCCAATAGAATGACACGTAGGCAATGACAGAGATCAAGATACTGGAGCAAAATATGAAGCTCAATAGGAGAGAGCCCAGTAGAGAGCGGTGAGTGGTTGGCGAGGAGACGAATTGGCCAGCGAGGCTATAAAACGATCTGAGCTGAGGGCGCACGTCGAATACATTGAGTAGGTTAAAGAAAGGCATGAAAAGCGCTTGAAAGAAATCATGAAAGTCCTTTGAAATGGAGGTAAGATAAGCCGATATATGATGAAATGGATCGATAGAGTCAAACCAGGAGGATTGTTGGCGTTCTTGCCGAACCGATGAGCCAGGCATAGCTATGTAGTACAAGCACAACTACAAAGAGTGATTTTGAATATCACTAGTTCAAAAGTTCGAGTCAAATGATCATAAGGAGATATGTAGCGATATATAGGATATTTCTGAAGATTGAGAACAAATGGATTGAACTGAAGTTGAGGTGAGTGATTCGTTCTGGAATAGAAAGCTTGACTTTAAAAATCAAAAACTTTGAAAGTCTCGACCAAAAACTTCGAGGACTCAGGAGTGCGTCATCAAAGACTCGATTTCTACAAACTGTATTAGGTAATCACCCTCACACACCCTCACCCTCTATCATCATCAGCATTCCACATGGTGATTGTAACGAGTAACGAAAGAATATATACAATCTTCGATCAGACCAGAGAGTCGAGGATGTAGGATTGGCCATGGGAACCACTGACTAAAACAAGGTGGTTGGTGGTGTATCTCATATTCATCTGGAGTAAGAACTACTCGGCCATCATTCATAAACATCACACTTCACTCGTCATCAACTTTGGCACATTGAGCTCATTCACTTCAACGTATCATCAGCCGAACTGAATAGATCAGTGCTCGGGAAGAGACCATGTGTAGTTGTCGGGAAAGGTCCACTTTCTTGAATGTGTACAAGACTCGATAGACGAGGCTCACGAAGATCCGCTTACTCCCCAAAGCCAGGAAGATCACGTAAGCAGCCAATGATCTGTTCCGAGGGAAAGCTCATGTGATCACTTTCGCAGAGTGGCTCAACGATCTCGATTTGAGGTTGCGGCCCCATTATCGCTCACGAAAGTAGCGCTCCATACCCATCGTGTGATTAGCAAACATCGTAGATGACTGATATAACATGTACATAAAGCAAATGAAAACAAGCAATACCACTGTAAACAAGCTCAACCTACAAAATGGCTCTATTGCGTCCCGAACCCTCACTGGCCACGAATCAATGTATATTCCCACTATTGATGATACAATTCGGTCGAGTTGCGTTTGAAAATGATTCCAAGATTCTTTCGTATTCTTCTGTTTGAAAGACAATGGTTGTCCCAACAGCGCTCTCAGCCAGAGGAACGAGGTTATCAACCCTTGATCTTGTATGCTCCGTAATCTTTCCCTGGCACATATGGTTCCCATCGAGAAGCCTATCAACACAGAAATACACTGAGCATAGTTATCAATGGAAGTGATCTTCAATTATCACTCACCGGGAAGATATGCTTGGCTCGGTTATACCAAGTTCGTGTCACTACTTTTCCCGCGTGACTTTCATCTTTTTCCACGGTTGCATCGGCTACTAATCGTACATCATCATGAGCGTCAAAGTTAAATAGCGGGCCGGATTTACCCCTTGCTTTCTACAATCATTGGTGGATCAGGATGTTGTTGGGCGAAAGAAAAGTAGGTCAGTACAAAAATAGCCACAAGAATCGCCGTAACGTACATTGACGATAAAATCATAAAATGTATAATGCTGTAAGGTTTAGGAAGCAAAGGAAATCAGTTTCACGATTCAATCCACAAAAGCCAAGTAGTTTTACTTACGTGAGGAATGATCAGATCTTCTTTAACGTATAGGATGTCAGCAACGGAGACCCCTCTCAACTCGGGCCACTGTGTCCTCGCCTTTTCTAGGAATTGTGCTATGCTATCACCTTTCTTGCACTGGAGAATATTGAGAACAAGAGGTAAATCAAAAGCCCGAATTGCACAGGCGGATGTATTCATACGTACAGTGACCTCTTTCCGGTGACCGGTGCCATCCCAGTATGAATATGTGATCTCAATATCTTCCTGTTTGATAGCTTCCTGCATCTTCAACCATTTCTGCCTCAATTCTTCACGCTCACGACGATCCAGTTCTTCCCTGTCTCTATCCGGCAAAAAAGAAGTGTCTACAGTCGGGTTCTTGCCAAATTGACCTTTTCGGGAGGCCGTAGACGACGATTCTATCTTCCACAATTAAACGATGTTCGAAAGATACCACGTCAACATACATGTCTGGCCTGATACAGTACTATCGCTCACCTGTCTTCGATGACGATGCTTTATTTTCAGTAACAGTGATTTCTTCATCCTCATCCACTGCAAATGATAGGTTGTACTTTGATTTCTTCTTCTTCTTCTTTTTCGGCTCTTCTTCCCTGGGAATCAAAAACAAATCGATAGGTAAGACCATATGGCAAGAGCGGTCGATTGCGTAAGGAGGCTCGGAGTGAGGGCGAGGGGACAATAGTATACTTCAATTCGTTGGATCTTGCAGCCTCTCTCATCTTCTCCTCTTCCAGAGCTTGTCGTTTCTGTTGAAAGTCTTCAAGCTTTACTAATCCTACTGTCTGCATCTTCAAGCTTTCTTCCATTGAATCTGATTTGCCCACGAATCGATCAGCTCCAGTGCGGTTCCGATCAGTCTCGCGTGTCATCTCAACTTTCTGGCGTTCGAACTCATCCTGTTTCAAACGTGAGATGCAACTCAATCGATCGTACTCGTGATGACATAAGCGAACGTTGACCGTACCATCATTTCTTTGCGCTTCTTCTCGTGCACAGCTATGAGCCTCAAATGTTCAATCTCAATCAGTAAGTAATCGAACGAGAAATAGGATGTTGTAATTTACCTATCCGGTGCTTCTCTGCAGTAGACGAAGCCATATCGAAATCGTGAAGGTTTGATCAAGGAAAGAAAAACGAGGTTAGGAGCGATAAACAGGTGTAGCTTGAGGCCGAGGGATAATAGACATGTGGATCACGCTCACACAGGGTCACATAGGGCTGTGACCCGACCCCGTGAGTTCATGGCCGGCCCCGGGACCAAGTCCGGCCTCGGGTAGGCCCGATGGTCTTTGAAAAACTCTCAGGGCCGACCAGGGCAGGCCCTGAAATCTAGGCCTCGAGGTCGCGCAGGGCCAGGCTCAAATTTGGGGGGACAAGAAGGACCCTGGAGAGCTCTTATCGAGGCACATAATGGAAAAGTTTTTCTTACACTACATACTCTTCACTTGAGTTTGAAGTCATACAAAATTGATACACTTCATCGCTCTTCCCTCAACAAGGCCCAGTTAGGAGCAAGGGGCTTTGTCAATTTGGGAATTCATAGCAACACAAGTGTGAAGACCGTTTACGAGCTATGAAATTCACAGCAATTCACAGCAAACATAAGGAAATAAAAACTTTTACATTGTGTGCCTCCATAAGAGCTCTCCGGGGTCCTGGACAAGACGCTCAGAAAGGGGATAACCATTGGGTGTATTGCATCTTCAAGGACATCAATAAGACCTTACTTCAAAGGTAGAAACATATTTGAGAGACCAAGCCTACTTAGAAGAGAGAAAAACAACATTCACTTCAAATTCTCATGTATAGATCTAAAGTCTAAACACCTATTTTGAAAAGGAAAACTTAAAATTTCTCACTTCAATCCAAATTAACATGTATTCAAACTTGTATCTAGTTAAAAATGAAAATAGATTTTTGAAATTCAATCAATAAACACCTATTTTTTCACGATCACCTTATTCCAGCTCTTGAGGCAGACTTGAGCTTCGAGATTGTGAGGAGTGAACAACGCTCGGTGGTCACTCATGACTCTCAAAGCGTTAGAGAATGTGCTCTCAGAAGGGGCACTTGTTGCAGGTACTGCAAGCATCGCTCTGGCCATGCGAGCGAGATTAGGCCAGTGACGTGCGTTGATTGACCAATAGGTAAGAGGTTTACAAATTTTGTCTTCTTGAGGGGCGGTGAGTTATTCATTCACCTCGTGTTCAATTGGGACAGTTTTGCGTCGTTTGATATAATGTTGAGGTCGATCATTATTGAGAATCTCTTGAGGTTCAACTATCTCAATCTCTGGGTCAAAAGTCGGTCTGAATTTGCTGGCCTGATCAGTAAAGTAATGAATCAAGTCTTCGTGTCCCCAACCGAGAGATTCCATTGTTTGGGCTTTGACCGCAGTAAGTTTGAGGCGAGGATTGAGAATCACAGCACATATGTAGACCGCCTTCTTCTGGGCAGCCTCCTGGTATTGAATGATCTTCTTGATCATTGGCATGATTGCCACTTTAAGTTCCTGACATCTAGAATCGGCCCAGGCCTATAAGTAAAAAATTATCAGTGATAATGATAAAGCAAAAGAAAAAAGTTAAGAAAAAACTTACGTTTTCGAGACGTTCCACAAGCCACTGGTAGTCAGGCATGACCACCGAGAAAGTTGGGTATAAGTGGCCTTCAATAGCTTTTGTCACAGTAGCAAGAGGCGATAAGAATTGTACCAAGTTTTCGACCAAGAGCCACTCTTCATGTTCAAGTTTGAAGCACTCCAACGTTGTGGAAATCAAAAGTTATCTACTTCTCAATTCTTACACATCTCATTTTTTCAAATCATAGTTTGATCAATTTCTTCAAAACAAATAGTTTATTTTTTTTAGAATTTTTTCTTTCAAACTCAGTTTCAATATTTTATCAAAATACCCTGCAAGGTTTTTAAGATCATTCTCTTAACACTCATACTTTTTTTAAAATCATTTCAAATATATTTTTATTCTTTTTCAAACATAAAGCTTCAATATTTTTTAGTCAATTACATTCAAATTACAAATTCTACAATTTAACTTTATTATTCATAACTTTTTATTCTATTCAATTCAGGATCAACATATAATAACAACAAATGATTTATGAATTTCTTTTTTTCATTCTAAACATTACTTTTTTTAGTTTATCCAGCTCAGGCAGACTAATTAATCAATTTCAATCATCTAGATCAAAAGGAAACAACAAAAGAAAGACATTAAACTCATCAAATTCAAATAAACAAATCACAAATTGAAAGAATAATGAAAATGGAAAGAAAACTTACACATTTAACCTTAGAAATTGAATCAATCTAGTGAAACAGGATCTAGACTAAAGAGAACTAATCAGAATCTAGAAACTAAAAGAAGAAGATGAAAGACTTACATATTGAACCTCAAAATCGAAATTGATCAATGTAGAAACTATAGAACACTCGATAGATTAAAACTAAAAAGATGAAAATCAAATTAATAAGACTAATCAATCAATATCAAGGCTCCAGATCGAAATCAAAAGCTACCAAGGGCTTTGATTTTGCAGTAAAAACCTACAAGAGAACAGGGTATAAACAGATTAGGATAGAAGAAGAACAAGTGATTAGTTAGTATATGAATGATCAAACTAAAAGAAGAAAAAAAACAAAGAACTTACAAATTGGATTTCAAAATCGATCGATCTGGAAAGCTAAAAGAACAAATCTAGAATCAAATTAAAAGGATAAATGAAGATAAATGAATAATTAGTTTATGAAAGAATCAGAAGAGAGGAATAGAAGAACTTACATTAAAAAGTTAGAAGATTGAGATCGAAGTTAGAAGGAGATCCGAGATGGAATGATGTCATCGAACGTTTTGAACGAGTTGAAAGGATGGCTGTGATCGAGTTGAAGGGTATAAAGTGGAGTGTGTGTCCGTTTATCGAGTGTTGTGTTGTTTTTGTTAGTGATTATTAAAGAGTGTTATCGAGTTTTTTGTGTTAGACCCTTATAAGGGTATTAGTGCTAGTTTTTTTATAAGACTCAAGAGTCAAGAGCGTGAAATTTGTGTGTGTGTGAAAGTTTTGTCTGTGAAAGTTCTACCTGTGACAGTGCTACAGTAGTTTTCTAGAGTTCTCATCAAGTTTTAAAGATATTGAATTAGTTTTTTTAGTTAAAAAATTAGCAGATTAATTTTCTTAGAGTTCAAGTAGTCTAATAGAAGTTTAAACAGCATCTACTCAGCATAAATTATTTTTAAAATCATTTTTTTTATTTCAAATAATTAGTTTTGAAGAAGTTTTTAAAATTAAATTGGACTGTGAAACATTATCAATTATTTGTATAACTTTGTTCATCCATTCTATAGCCTTAGCTTAAGCACGTTTAGTGTTTAAGGGCCTTGGTGACCACTCTGTACAGTCTTTAGACTTGTCGGAGCTCTTTCGGACCAGGTTCGGTACTGATTTTATCAGTGGAAGGGGTAAATTGAAGTTGTTACAGGTGTTGGTTGTGTGTAGCAGGAAGGTTTCTTTTTGAATTGTATCCCTCTGCTTCTGAACTTAGAGATTATTATAGGTTGAGGGCAGCTTAACTGCAACTGTTGTACTCCCATCCTCTCTGGCGGTACTTCATCCCCTCTCCGGCTCAGCCTACGCTACACTGCGTAGGAGTTCTACAACGTGGGGTTACAATTGAATTGGTACTCGATGACCACTCTAAGCTCTACAAATTGCAAAAGAGAGGAATGTGTTGAAGACCAGCGGGTAGATACCTCGTGAATGAGACCAACTTTGCGCTCCAAGGTGGCACAACTGGCTATGGTGTTATCAAGGGTGGTTTTAAGCTGAGAAGAATGTTTGATCTGCTTGTGGAAGCCACGGATGCGAGTGAGATCACTACAGACTTCAGAGTCACAGCCCCCAACTACTGGTCACTGGCAGGCCAGTACATCCGATGTCTCCAAAATGTTTTCAACAAAACTTCAATTGGTTTTCAGCATAACATCCATCTGCTATCCAGATGTTTTGGGTCAGTTACCAGCAAAATATGTCATACCACCCAAATTGAGATGATGTCATACAGCATCATAAACCTGTACAAACCTGCTCCTGTATTTCCCCACCAAGAATATATAGTTTATTAACCTTTGTGACATAAATTGACTGAGTTATTGAGGTTTGAAAAAAAAATCACGGACAAAAAATACTATTTTTGTACTATACCTAAGAATTGATTCTGGAATATCTTCCAGCTTCATCAATATACATACACAAAAAAATTGATATTCCTTTTGAAAACATGTTTCTCCACATTTTTGTCCCCTAGAACCTTCCTGTATGGGCAGTATTTCTATATGTAATTGTGGTGTGTACATGAGCAGTCAACAACTTGATTGATTCTTTGTTTCTAGGCGGAATATGGCAAAGTTTATGGCAGAAATTTTTGTCAAATACCATCTACATGTACATCAATCAAATTCAGAATGATTTTGGCAATATGTTTCCTCAAATTTTTTCTTGGGGCAAAGAACTTCAGAAAATCAAACTTGCAGACACATTCAGGAATTACATGTAGAAATACTGCCCATACAGGAAGGCTTTAGGGGACAAAAATGTGGAGAAACATGTTTTGAAAAGGAATATCAATTTTTTTGTGTATGTATATTGATGAAGCTGGAAGATATTCCAGAATCAATTCTTAGGTATAGTACAAAAATAGTATTTTTTGTCCGTGATTTTTTTTTCAAACCTCAATAACTCAGTCAATTTATGTCACAAAGGTTAATAAACTACACCAGGGGGTAAGTGGCACGTTCCAAAACCAGAATCAATAGCGTTGCAGACACGTTATGACATTTCAATTGTTTTGGAACGTGTCCAGAAGGTGTCCAGGTTTTACGAAGCAAAAACGCTGCGATCACGTAGAAGTCACCGAAAAGCAAGCTGTATTCAAGAGTGCTGGACCCATCGATTGACAGCTCAGCCGAGCAAAGACTGACCACCTGTAGCGTACAGATCACTCGGTGAAATACCCGAGGAAATACAAAGAAATCTAACGGTATGCTACCGCAACAGAATCGACAGACTTCCCAGACGTCCCAGACATCCCATTTTGGCCCCGTCCAACTGGCAAATTTCAAAGTCACCACTCAGA